TGCGGGACTTTAAACTAAAATTTATTCAACACAAAACCATCAATTCATTCCAAATAATTTCCATTATTATTGACGACTTCTGCCCATTTTACAGGCAATTTGCGGATTCCTCTTTCGTAGTAGGATTTTGGTTTGTGTGTGAGACAAGTGTGAGACTCAAAAATGGAGGACTGGAGATGTCAGCCGTAAGCCCAGTTTGAGCCCTTTCTTCAAAAGAAACCCATTTTGGTGTCAATAGAAAAGTTGTAGAGAATCAAAAATTAGGCTTATAGCCAAATTTCCAAAAAGATACACTTAGTAGTTTTGCTTAAAATGCAAGTTTTGTTGCAAGTTTTGTGAAAATTCGTAAATTTGGCATTTCTTGAAAACCAGTTTTTGAATCGTTCTGAAAATTTGGATATAAGTTTAATTTTTGATTCTCTACAACTTTTCCATTGACACCAAAATGGGTTTCTTCTGAAGAAAGTGCTCAAACTGTCACATACGACAATAGCCCGCAGTTTTCAATTCACCAACCCAATAAATACCTAACGAATACAAAATCCAGAATCGGCAAGCCAAGCCAGTAACTAACACATCTAGTGTCAGAATTTTTGATAAGCTGTTTGAATAATTTGGTGCAATTCAACAATTGAATAATTTGTTCATTAAAGAAATTTCCCTTTGAACATTTATATTGACTTTTGTTGAACAAGTTTTGGATAACCTTGTCGCGACAACCGTAAATTGGCGGTTGGGAGTTCTTCCAATAAGACGATCAAAGGAGAGGCGAGAAAATGCCGAAGACATTTAATGACACCAAAAAAAGGACAAAAAGGGACAGTGAATGAGTCTGTTTCAAGTCTGAGAAGAGCCAATTGAGGGCTATGGATGGAGAAGATAAATAGCCTTCAAAGATGTTACTTGATGATAGGCGTACCGTATTGTTCTTTACCATTTTTCAAGTGCTTTGAGTAATTGGAAGATGATTAACGAGTCTTTGAAGTGGTCATTAGTAATTTGGTCTTGCAAATTTTGAGGAATGTTTCACCTTGAGAATCATAAAGGGCAAATACTGTAAATACTGTAATAGAACGAAAAAGAAGTTAGACTAGTTAGACTGTACAAGCGAGTGGCTTTCTTTTTAGAGTATTTACGATAAGTGTATTATAAAAGATCGACTTTTAAAAAGGCTATCATATCTACCGTACTTTTTGTTGAGAATAGGTGATTTAAGCAAAAGCTAACTACGATCCTAGCCTATTTATCTTTTCAGGCACTCGAGTACGGTCCCTGTAAAATCCCCAGTCCTTCGCATAAGCTCTGTTGGTTCCTGATTTCACTAATGATCTGATCTTTCTTCAAATCATTAGCATTATTTATGGGTCAACAGTTATTGACACCCCCAAATTACTCAATTCTGCCCCACCCAAAGGCTCTCTTGTCAATAACGAAGTTTTCCAGAGAGTGTCCCCATAAAATGTGCTCCTCAATACAAGCAAACCCTCCTAAAAGGCACTCGGCCTTCCGCCTAAAGCCTATCATTATCCTCCAGAGATTGGTGGCTTGTGCGGATGGTTTCCGTCGCACAATCAACTCAATTGGATAAACCACTCGAAAGATGGAGCTTGCCCTGTTTTCTCCAATTATCTTCCCAAAAATCCCCAAATTGACACCCCTATCCCTTTTTTTGTCCAAATTCCCAAATTGCCTCACTCTCGTCGCCGGGGTTTTCCGGGGCGGCTAAAAGCAAAATTTGGCACGCAATCGGCTCGACAATTGGATTTACTTGAAAAGCTCTCCTTAGTCTTGGAAATGGATTCTACAAAATGAGAAAATGGAGGGTGTTATTTGTGGCAAATGAAGAGATGTCTTTAGGGGTGTTGAGTGGTTGGGTTTTGTGGTGAAAACAAATGAAACACTGGGCAAATGTTTGTCATCACTAAATAGTTGGGCTAGTCCTTTTACTAGCAAACCAGCGATGCTTTGCCTCTTCGCTTTGTCTTGCTTTGCCAATGAGCTACGTATAAAGTACCGATTTTTTCAACATGAATAATGTAACACAAACAAAAACACAACTCAACACACAAATACTGGCCCAATACCCCTAGAGATGTTGCTGAGAAAAGGAAAAAAGCGTGACCAGGAATCGAACCCTTGACCTACCGACTAGGATACAAGACTCCTAACCATTCCATCATCGAGCCCACTGATAATCAAACGTGCAAAAGGGTTACCTATTGTTGAACGGAACTTGATAATTGCGATAAAGAGACCACAGTGTGTAAAGAAACCGACAAGTTCTTATCCCATCACTAAAAACAACTCATAGCCATCTCACTCATAGTCTCCCCTCAAAAATCTTTCACTTGTGAGAATAAATTGTTGAGCCACCCACTTAGCCACTCTTTCAATACCCAATTTGAGTCGCTTTCCTCGCAAAAAGTTGAAACTCGAAGAAGGTGAAGAGAGGCGCGAGAAATGCAGCAATTTTGAGTGCTTATGTGGTTGTTTGGATGGGGAAATAGATGGGCAAAAAGAAGACTTTCTTTGCTATGCGTTTGGTGTTTTTCAGGGGGGAAAGAGTTGAGGATCGTTTCACGCCGATTTGGAGGAGAAACGGTAATTGACGATACGGTAGTGCGGTACTTGATGGGTGAGAGAGGGAGTGGAGGTCAAGGTGGACGGAAAGGAAGTCGATTTGTTAGAAGTGTGAAGTTGGATAGTTAAATGGTTTTCCTGAATCTCTGTATTGAAATTTGTACTTGCCAAAATCAGTCAACCAGCCTTGAGACCTGTCAAAGATATGTAGACAGTTAATTGATTTTGATTCCTTTCCGGACTTTGGGCTTAGTCTTACTCTACTGGAACTTTGCAGTCACTGGCTCAAGACTAATCCTACAATTCTTGCGCTTAAATTGGGTTTTTGTTTCAAAGTTTGTTTCAAAAATTCCGATTCTAATTTCTAATCAAAACTGTTGCCATTTTGATCGATTGGCTCTCCATTCATCATTTCAACCATTTCATCTCTCCCATCAATGCTGACAGATCGGATCTCTGACTTCCGGTCGAGTGGAGGCCCTCTCAGCCTCGATTTGAGAGCACGAGAAAATTACGCCAAAATTTCCCCACTTACCTCTTCTTTTTCACCCTTTTTTCTCACTCTGACAGTCAACCGATTTTCGACGATTTGCTTCACCGTTTCGACGTGTTTGACCGAAAACTCTGAGAATAATGGCGAGTTGAGATGGAGAAATGGATGGAATTGAGGTTGAAGAATTAGATCGATGAGGAAATTTGATGGGATGATAATGAATTTTTGGATATTATAAACCTTATAACTACAGTAGTTCAGCTTGATCTCTCAATTTTACATTTTATCTCTTTAGATCTACAAGTTTAACAATGAAAGTACAGAAATCAATGCTGATAGATCGGATCACCGGTTTCCAATCGATTTCCGGTCGTTTAAAGCTTTAAACGGAGAACAAAACTTTTTAACTACAGTAGTTTAGAACTACAGTAACTTTATAACAAAACGCTATGATAGTTTTCCTTTCAATACGGTAGGTTTGACAATATTTGACCTTTCTTCTTGAACTTCGAACCAAATCAAATTTGCATTTTTGTCAATCCCAATCCCAGACAAACAATGTGCCCTTGATTCGCCCAATTTTCACACATACTAAAAGCCAATTGAGATAGATTGTGGACTGGAAGGGCACAGGTGTGTGCGACTCAAAAAAAAACGGCAAAAAGCCTCGGTGGGATCAAAATATTTCGTCCTTTTTGGTCAAATTAGCTCCGCCCCATTTGCGCCTTTTCCCCCTCAACCCATCGCTTTCGGAAAACAGACAATATTGTGCTTAATGGAGAGACTTTTTGTGTGCACTACTCTCTAATCGAAAGGCAAATTGTGAAAACATTTGAGTGAATATTTAGGGTAATTAAGTTGTGGATAGACTAAAAAAGGTAACGAAAGGATTTATCAAATGGAAAATGATCTACAGTCGAACTTCTCTATAACGACCTCCTATATAACGATTTTGAAATTCTAAAAGGTGCCCCTAATGTCTGCTTAGCTGCCCAATTAGGCGCAATCGTTGCCCGCACAGGGCAGTTACGCAGAAAAAGTGGGTCGCGTTTTAGACTCGTTATATAGAAATTTTTGCTCCCTTCGATATCTTTATAGAGAAGTCCGACTGTAGTGGTTAATTTAAAGATATTCAGTCAATCAATCAATCAGAACGGAGAGGCTCACAGTGACAAAAGCGCAAAAACGCAAAAATTATTTGACAAAAACGCTTTTGGCATGTCTATTTGGGGCGTCATCGCCGAAAACATCGCAGGATGGCGTAGTGGATCAGAGGGTTGTATCAAGAGCCAGCTACGTGCCTCCTCGCTCGGGTTCAATTCCCTTTTCGGCTCAATCTTTTGCTTTTTGTTTATTTAGGTATATTTTTGTTTTCTTTAGATTTTCTATCGTATATTTGATCAAAATAAATTGTTGGGGAACATTTTATGCCAGATATGTCAAATGAGAATGAAACCAAAAGTTTTCAAGGTTTTCAGGGTTCATTTGTTGTATCTCCAAGCAAAGTCTCTAATTTGTGCTGATCTTAAGTCATTATTTTTGTATTTTGGCTACAAATAATGACTTATAAGAACCGTTTATAGTAGTGTAATTAGCTTGATAAACTTGACTGACAAAAACTGAATACTGTGCCATTGTGATTTTGTTTGGATACTGTACCCTTGTTTGGATGCTTAATCTGCATTTATTCACAACCGATTCAGCAAAATTCATATTGCAAGCAAAGAGAATAAAATAAGCAAACTTTCAAACAAAAACATTTGAAAAATCGAATCACGCAATTCACCAAAATGGGCAAGCAGAAGAAAACTTTCAATGATCAAGTAAAGCATTCATTAAAGCCAAAAGAGTTACACTTGGGAAACTTTTCCATAACAATTCTGATTTACAAATGCAAAGTGAACCCACAGTTACTCAAAAAGCATCAATCTTGTCGAGAATCACTCTCAGATGGACTGCCTGGATGAGAATTTGGGATTGGAGTGGATTTAAGATTCGGAGAGGATTGGGACAAAATGGGTGTACTGGAAGAAAGTGGGGTTTGTGATTGAGCTAAAGCTAGAAATGAGGGATTGATCAGGGGGAATCCGGTGGGCAATGATGGGGAGGAGATCGATGGCGAGGAGATGGATGAGAGATCAGTGGAAGTGGAAAGGGGAAGACCGGAGAGACCCATCGATTGTTGCATGAGCATCATGTTGAGACCGGCACCCGGGAATGATTGCACGAAGTTGGACTGGAATTTTGGGAATTCTTGAGACATTGTACAATGTACAATTATAATTGGAATTTCCGAACTTTTAGCGTATTAACCGTTATTAATCACCTCCATTTCTGTGCCGACTATTCGACACCAAATTTACTTTTGGGAATCAACAAGATTGTGTTTAATCAACCTTTTGCATTGCCAATTTTCTTTGTAAATTATTTAGCCCGTTAACTGAATATCTTTAACGTGGCTTGCTCTATTTAACTGTTGCTGCCAGAATTTCATGTCTTTTTTTCCATTCATTACAAGGTGACCAGAAATAACCCGTTCCTTTTTTTTCTAGGCTCATATTTTTGTTATTTGTAGATCAAAACGATTAACTTCTTTTTTAAATGGAAATTCACATCATTTTCTATATATATATTCAAGATTTCATGACATTGATAGATAATTTTTTATGAACGCTCAAAAATGGCTGATCAAAAAAATGACGAGCCGCAATTCAACCCCACAAAAAAACCCCAAAAAATAGTTTTTTTTAAGTTTAAGTAGATTCAGTTTAAAAAATATTAAATTCGTTAATATTTTCTATAAGATCATCGATAAATAAATCTCTAAACTGCGGCTCGTTAATTTTTGACCAGCTATTTTTGAGCGTACAGAAAAAATTATCTATCAATGTTAGGGTCATGGAATCTTGAATATATACAGAAAATGATGTGAATTTCCATTTAAAAAAGAAGTTAATCGTTTTGATCTACAAATAACAAAAATATGAGCCTAGAAAAAAAAGGGACGAGTTCTTTCTGGTCATCCTTTAAAAGGAACGCACTTCTTGCAAGTTAAATAAAATAAAATAAAATAAAATTGTTTTCAAGTTGATTGGTTCAAGTTGATACAAATTGCCCATCATTTTGGGAAAAGTTTTTCGATTACTGATCAGCTGTCAATTAAAGAGAAAGCCCGGATAAAAGATAGGAAACAGTCCTCGTACAAATCATCTCTATTCAGTATAATTCCTAAGCCCTATTATTTCTCTTAACCATTTCAAAAGAACTTATCTAACTGTTACATTTTTGAATAGTTCAGTTAAAATCGAAAGGACAATTTATTCAGTACAAGTCACTCACCCAGTACGGGTTACTCCGAATCAATTGTTGAACAGCAGCCATATTCCCTGCCTCACTCAACAGGTCCATTCCCACTGACGCTTGCCTCTTCCATTTGGTTCTAAATTGGAAATTTTCTTCATACGATCATAAATTCTTATTATCATTAACATCTTTTACAGAAATTATGTCTTTTAGAGAGGAATTTTATGTATTCGAAGCGATCATAACCGGGCACGCGATTGGATTCGAAAAGACAAAGGAGGCAGATGGGTGGATAAAGAGGAAAGAAAGGGAGAAGATTAATCGAGGAAAAGAAGATCGGGTAAACTACAAATAATTGATAATGCGGAGGAGAGTCTTCGAAGAATATTGGGTACTAATTTAATCATGTTGGCGGCCATTTTGATCGCTTAATGCTCCCCTAGGCTCGGGTCTATTATTGCTCAAAATTGGATAAGAGAGATGAGTGACTGAAGAGAATGAATGAGTACTGTGGCATTTGATATTCATTGTAAGTTCTCAAGCCCAACCTTCTATTCTGATACCAAGTCTTGACTTGGGTGTCCGTCAGCCCCATCCTTTGAGCCAACTCCATTCGATCTTGGACGTTCAGGTACTTGTGCTTTTCGAACATCGACTCAAGCTCCTGGAAATTGGGAATTCATTTTGTTTTTATGAATAACCAGACAAAAAAACAGCCTAATGGTCACCGTCAGCCCCATCCTCTGAGCTAACTTCATTGATCTTGATCAAAAAGTCAAAATAGAAAGGCACTACAGGGGTCGAACCTTGGCCGTGTGAGCAATAGACAAGCGCGCTCCCGTCTGCGTCACAAACCCGCCAAACGTTCGGCCAGAAAAACCATCTAACCGCGTAAAAACGGGTTTTTCTGGTCGAGTCTTTTGTCTGGGAGGGCGCAGTTTTTGTCTGAGAGGGCGCAGGCGCTTGTCTACGGCCCAGACGGTTCGAGCTCGATCCCCGTAGTGCCAATCTGATTCTTTTATTTTAAATACCACAACTACAATATATTCTAAGATGTTCTAAAGAAGTTTTAGCTTTATTGGTCGAAACACTGCCGAGAAAATGCCAAAAACAGACAGACAGACAGACAGACACTATTCTTTTACATATGCTGTGTCCTATTTAGATTTTTGTCTGATTTGGAAACATCTCAAGCGCCACAATAACGTGTTTTCACTGTTACCTTGAATGTTTTTTAGTTTTTATGAATCTATAAAAGTTTCTGCGTAAGAAGAGAGTAGAATAGCATTAATGAACATTTATAGACCATTTATACCTAATTTTTAAGATTTTTGCGTATTTTTGGGTGGGAAAGCGCTTGAAATTATCCATTTTACTTTTTTGTTCTCCAGTTTGCCTATAAATCACCATAAAAATCATGAAAAATGACAAAAGTTTGAATTAAATCCAAATCGGACACAACATATATAGAACTAGAAATGTGCACACGGTTCGGTCCTTGGCCTGGTCCTTGGCCTGGTCCTTGGCCTGGTCCTTGGCCTGGTCCTTGGTCCGGTTTCGGTCTTGGCCCGGTCCTTGGTCCGGACCGGACCGAAATCGGACCGAGAAGTTGAGGCTTCGGTTCGGACCGGACCGAGATCGGATTGACTGATACGGACCGAGTGCATATGTCTACCAGATACTCACTTGTAACTGTTTATCGGTGAAGATCGTCCTCGCCTTTCGGGCTTTCTTGCTTCCGCCTTCTCGCGAGACTGGACTTGATCGACCCTCACTTCCACCAAATGGACTACTGCATGTGGCTTTGCGATCAAGTGGAGACTCAATCTCGATGCTATCTGAAAACAGAAATGTATAAAAGGTTGGTAAATTTGTTTTTGTGATTTTAAACTACTGTGGTTTGCCTAACAATTGTTATCTAGAGTTCTCTTCTGTAGTTGAAACTTAATCGAACTCATAATCGTTATCATTTCACTTGCCAAACATTTTCCAAATTCCTTTCTAAACTCTATTTGTTATTTTCCACAAAACATTCCATCTTTCATGGTTAATCGTCAAAAATTTTCGATTTTTCTAGGTTGAGTGGGCTCAATTACTGAAAGGCAATCTGTATCCACTTCAAAACATGACTCCTCATTCAAAGCTAACCACCCCACCAAGCCGATGTTCTAGGTCATCCTGTAGATCTAATTTATGAGTGTCAAGGAGACTAACCTTTGCAATTTTGGATGGTAAGAGGTGGGTTCTCAATAGGACTGGGAAATGGTCTTCCTCTTTCTCCGTCCAATTTGACACGATATAATCGCGCACTTGATCCAATAACCCATCCCTCTTTCCGCTGGGAATGTGGAATCTCTTTTAAGTGTAATTGTGGAGAAGGTTTGAGGAGTAATCTTTGAAATTTGAGCATAAAAATCTTTTTCTACTTAACACTTAAGATTTCTAACAAGTTCTGTTTCGGTTAGCCCACCACAACCTGGTTTTGGGATAAAAGACTAAAATTTGATGCGTAAAGTGATTGCAACAGTTGCAGTTGTTTGCTAGATCAGTTGCAAAAGATCAGTTGTTCTTGATTTTTTAGAAATTATCTCAATAAAGGTTTTAAAGAAAGGATTGCCCTCACTTGACTCCTCTCACTAAATCCCCAAATGAACAACGAATTGATAGTAATAATTCCGGTAGAGTGCCCTCATCTATATCCCTTTCTATCTAGGTATATTGGATAATTCGACCTATGGATGATTCGCTAATCCGAAACAATAATCCGTGCGAATAATGGGTGAAGAGAGGGCAAACCGGGGCTCTTACAAATAAATACCGTAAAGAACATTCATTCATCGGAAAGGATCGGATTCGAACAGGTAATAGATGAGATTATTGTGTTATTGGGGTAAGAGGAGGTACAGTACATGTATATGTACAGTACATAAACAAGATGAATGAGAAAATTGACTATTTTGAAAGCTCTGCTTCGACGGACGTCATGGAAGCGATTCATAAAATGAAGGAATTTCAAATAAATACATAACAATAGAAAGAACTACATAATCAATGCTATCTTTAAGATCTTGGTTTCAAGAATTCTTGAAGAAAAATGATCTGCTGAAAGCTAAAACACTGGTTGGTAAGGTATTTTTGAAAAAAAGCTTTACAATGAGTTGGATTTTAGAAATTTCTTAAGTATTTCTATCTTTTGACATCCGTTACCAATTTCAAATCACCAACCACTTTCTCCACTCGTATTCGCCATGTCATCATGTCCACGAGGCGCTTCCAAAAGATCTTGAATGCGAAAAGATGGAACATGTGGAGTGATGGAAGATGGAGATGGCTTCACTGTTGGTAGAATAAGACCACCCAATCCAGATAGTTGTGGAGGTCGGGCTAATAAAGTCGCCATGTGTGGATCGATGAAAAGAAGGAATTGTCGAGGATCCAACATTCTGAAATTGATTGACTTCAGATCAAGCACTGGAATGAGTAAAGGTTAGACAAAAACATCTAAGTTACAGACATAGTAATTTAAGTTTAAGTACATTGGTCATCTATTTTGATGATTTTGAATGCTTGATGCTTTTAAATGGTTTTGAATCAGGCGCATTGTAAAGTATTTAAACGTAACAGCCTAGGATTTTGAAAAGAACCCATTTTAGTAAACTTTTATATTATTTAGATCAACTTTTATATTAATAACATTATCTAGATCAATGCTTAAGAAGTAAATTGTATCAAAACGATTAAGAAGTCTCAGTTTTGAAAGAAAGTTCGAATAGCAAGCTAACGCAAAAAAAGCCAAAACTTGGCAACTACCGTAACCGTTCGACTAAAAGATTGAAAGTTTTGGGTGCCGGGAGAAGGGGAATCGTTTGTAGGCATTTAAAGCATTCAGTTGAAGGAAGGGGAGGGTGAGAGGGCGGGTCCAACAACCTCCATCCCCCATCCGCCCATTCAACCAATCATCGACACTCTGAGGGGGCGGTATCCATTTGCACTCATCGTGAAATGGTGAAAGAAAATACGGAAAGAGAGAAGATGCCCATAATTGAGCAACCACACGAAGTGAGCACTCATTGTCATTTGTGGAGAAAGAGGTGGAGATGGCCGCGAATTTGCACTCAAGTGGATTGTTTTTGAAAATTGCTTGGCTTTATAAGAGTTGAAAAACAATGAAGAAAGGATTGTTAGTTGAAATTTTGAGTCTCAACGAACGTTAGAATGAACGGTAAAACGTTAGAAAGTTAGAAACAGCATTTGAATACGAGGGAAATCGACACAAACAGTGAAAGCCTGTTCTCGGAAATAAGAAAACAAGAAAACCCAGAACTAAAAGAGTATGGACTTAATGGGATTTTAATAAGAAAATTGAGCACTATCTCAATTTAAAACACAACCTAACCTCATTTTCACAGTTATTGTCATTTTTTCAAATTTGCAAACTCTAGTTACTCTGATCGACTCAAAATTTTTGATCTTAAATCCCTTAGACACCGCCGCTTGGTCACGGATTTAATAGAATACTTGGAAATTGTAAAAGGACAAACAACCTATCTCTCTTTTTCAAGATTTATTCAAAGTGAATTCAAGTTTCAGAAGATCCAATTTCTTTAGTTTTAGAAATTCCAATCACCTCCAATAATCTTGTTTATAACTCTTTTCCAATAAGAACTGCTAGAATTTGGAATCTATTCCCTAAAGTTTTTTGAGAGTCAAGAGTAGCCTTGAAGTCTTTAAACTATCTGTAGATGCTCTTAATCTTGCAGTTCTAGTTGATTCTTGACTTTATCTGTGCTAGCCAATTTTTACATACATTATATCTATTTCTATAGCTCCTTTTCGTGTCTATGTGTGTTAATCTTTGCGCACTTTGTTTCAGTTTCTGAATAAAGTGTAAATGCACTAGCTGTTTTGCTAAAATTTGCATTAAATTCCCTCTCTTAAAAATTCTCTTAAATTCTCTTAAATTCCCTCTCTTAAAATAAAAATTTAGCGTCAAATGCGAATTGGGCGGTTGTTGTAAATTTTAAAGTCGAACAACTCGGCGGGAAATGACGTTTTTTACAGACTTTAGATTCGGAATTAGCGAATTTTTTACCCTAAAATGGGAGTTTTCAGCTCCTTAGCTCAATTCCTCGAATAAAAGCCTCGGACAGACAGACGGACAGACGAACGGCGTTATTTATATTGGTGAATTGGATGAATTGGATTGAATAGTTTGGATTATCTCTACAGTTCTTTATTTCTTAAAAATAAGAAGACAAGGGAAAGATAAGTGTTTGCCTAGAAATAGTCGATTAACTCAAACAATCACAATTGAGATGATATCCGATAAACTTGTAATAGCGTTCAAACCAACAATAGTTTTCTTTTTGGTGTCTCACCTTGTTGAGACGGATGTCAATTAGCCATTGGGTGTTTTGACACCAATTTGACATATGTTTGGAGCCCGCGAGTGATGATCGAGGGATATCCGGTAGGGGGAAATCGAGAGGGAAGTAGAGGACACGAGCCACCACAAGGTAGGCAGATGTGAACTGTGTGGGGAAAGATAAGTGATAGGGATGATAATGTGATCGAAGTGAGCCCATTGCTTGCGGTGATATCCCCCGAGACTGTTGCCACTTAACACTTGAGGCAATTTCCGTTTCAAAATCTTGAAAGCGGAGATTTAAACCAAAATACTGAATTTTACTTTACGTAACTTTTAGTTTATTTCATCGAATGGAAATCATTTTGCATTTAAAACTGCAGTTTCCGAATTTACATACAAACTACAAAATTACATTTAACATTTCATTTATAAACCGCCGTCACTCGCAAAATGCATCTCATACTTTTACTACAACCCTTATTGGCGGGTTCTGAAGCTTCTAATCAGGCAAGTTTTTTTTAGCTTTCTTTATTTAAAAGTTAAGATGTTAACCATTTCGTTGTTCGTAAGTTGTAAATGTTTCTGTTTTTTAGACCGATAGAATCAATGGGATGTACTCTTTCGAAAAAGCAACGCCTTCAGCGGGAACCGGAAACGAATAAAGCGGTTAGTGGTTTTTGGAAATGTTTTGTTGTTGCAGTTTAAGGAAAGTTGAGCCCATTTTGTATTCATTTTCTAACTTTTACACCAAGTTTACTCCAGGTTAATCGTTTACTTAAAAGCTTCTAATCAGCTCATTTCTTGAGCTAATTTTTATAGTATGATGAATAATTTAAAGCTAAATATTATAGAATAGATATGTCAAAACCAAATTAACTTTTTAATTGGTGCTATAGTAGTTGGGGGGTTCGCCAAATGAGCTGATTATTTGCGCCCAGGGGTTTTGACTATGCTGAATCGATTAGTGATGGTTTCACACAACAAGATTTTGCAAGTTTTAACAGCGTTTATATCAAATGTACTGGAAACCTAATGTACTCAGGTTTATTCTGGGATAAAGTGACCAAAAAGTACCCCTTGTCTTGAGTCATGTCCTCGTTGGTAACTTGTTGACATTTTGTTGTTGTTATTTTTGTTGCTATTTGTTATAAACGTTGTTAAATGTTGTGTGAAATCATCACCAATCGATTCAGCATAGTCAAAAACCCTGGGTGCAAAAATCAGCTCATTTGGAGAAAAAATTCCCCCAACTACTATAACACCTTTTTTGATCTTTAGAATGCACCGGGGAAACGTTGAATGTGAAAACAGTGATCGAAATGAAAAGGACCGAGAGCTTCAAGCAAGAATCTCATCATTCACATCATCGAGAAGAAGAGGAAAAAAAAGAGCAGAAGAAGACGGATCCACGTCCAGCCACTCAACGACCACAACAAGTCTACGTTCCACCACGGTAAGAATTTGGTCGTGTTTTAGATGCCTTAAAATTCCATTTTATTCTTTGTTAGCATCTTCTTTTTAGGCTGCCTTCAATGGATCGAACGCAAAGCATTAGCAAGCCGCGCAAAGATGTCAAGATTGCCGCACATCCTCGGTAGTTGTTTAGACTTTTTAGCAGCTTTTACGCAATTCATATTGGTTTTAATGTGAATTATATAATTTCCTTTAGAATTGCACCAAAGTCAACGGTTTCAAAGAGGAGCACCAGTTTCAATCGTTCAGAAAAGAAGCACAGGGAACGGGAAAAGGTCGACATCTCGAGAAGCATGCCTAAACTGGAGAAAGTTATTGTACAAGACGACTCAAAGAAGCACGTTGTAAGTTGTTCCAATTCTCGAGGCTTATATTTTACTTTAATAGATTTTACATAACTTGTCTGCTTTAGATGTCAGTGAGCCTGGTCTCGAAGCACCAAGAGCAAAAGCCGCCCATCCAAGCAATTCAGCACGTTGTTAACAAGCCCGCCCCGGTTCACTCTACCTTGAAAACAGTAAGTTATTTATCTAAACTACATTAATGAGTTAGAAGATAAGTTTTACTATTTTCCCGTGTGCAATATTTTTTTATTTATAGGTTGACGAGAGAGCATCACCGCCACCAAAAGCTCGTGAAAGGGATCGTCCTTTGCAAGTGCCACAACCAAGTGCATTCGTTAAACATTCACCTCGCACCAATAAGGAGGAATGTGAGTTTTAAAATAACACCAAAGTAAAAGGTCGGATTGCAAAGGGTTTTAGCATTCCATTTTAGTTTATACGTCCAATTTTTTTTACGTTTAGTACAAGCCGACGGATCACCACAGCGAGAGCTTCAACGCACTCCTCGTCCTCAATCGACTCCACCACGAGAGAAAGAGCACAGAGGTTAGATTTTTCAGATTTACCGTAAATATTCTAATAGAAGAGCCGGCTTTTCTATTTTTCAATGTCCCTCTAAAATTCTTTTTCGTGCTCTAGTTACAGCAAACCCAAATTTTCAAGAGCCCAAAAATGGGTATTTTTGTTGGATTTTCATCCGGTTTTTGACGTCATTAAGCTTTAGTCTATAACTATTATTTAAAGTCTTTGGAAGTCTTTAAATAGTTGGTATCTTGCTATCCGAGAGTTGAAAAATCTGAAAATAATGAAAAATTTCGTCTAAAGGAGGCTCTTCAATTGGAATACGATACGATAAATACGATAATTTTACTCAGTTCTCTTTAGAAGACATGCGTCGTAACCGCAGCCAAGCCAATATGCACCATGCGGCCCAAATGCCAATAGTTCTTCCAGGATTTAAACCAGTTGATGATGGTACTTTTTAGTTAAAAGTTGCAAATCTTGGTTACATTTAGATCTGATTCCCCGCAAGTCACCCGATGAGGCGGCCGACCGATTCCGTCTTGAGCAAAACATTAAGGAACGAGTGGATGCAAGGTGAGTAAAGATTTGAGTTTTTAATCAGTACGTAGTTGATTGGTTTCCGGCAGATGAATAGTTTAGAATAGTTATTAGTTACTCTTATACTGTATGAAAAATGCTTTTAAATTTAGGCATCGCGCTCGCAACGCGCCATTTGATCCCGAGGAAGACACGCTTTTTGAGGTGAGAATTTTGGATAAGAATTTCCGTTCATGCTATTTTTTCTTTTTTATTTTTCCACTTCAGATACCAATGCGAATGCCGGTGATCGATTTGGTGAGGATTTGAGGGAAATTTCCGGACAACATTTCACATCAATTTCTTCGTCTTCACTCTACGGAACAATAAAAATATGGGATCTTTTTTAGAAAAGTGTAAATGAATTGTGGGATAATGGTTTTAAACTGTGATGCTTTTTTCAAGGTTTTGATTTCTGAACACTGAATTCCACTGAACTACTGAACTTCGATTAACTTGCCCAAAAAAAGTTGCATACATCCCTATAGCTTACTGTAGTTTGTTTGTTGATATTGATTTTAATGTTCTTTTTAATTGAACATGCACAATTTATTAAAAAGAAGCCCGCATATCACACCAAATTTGTTGAAAAGCAAATCAAAAAACAAGCGAAACTGATGGGAAATTGTCACAGCGTTTTATCACAGGATTAAGAGTATTACACTTGCGCCTAAAGTTTGAAGAGTGGTAGTTGAAATTATGAGAAAATATCATAAAGTAGTTATAAACATAAAGGCCATGAACCTTATTTTAAAGTCCGTTCCAGCGGTGAAAGAACGAAGAGAGACTCGAGACTCCGGAAGTCGACGGAGAGTCTAATGGGGCTAAAAGATATAAATTTTATAAGCTTCAAATCTATCAATCTATTAACAGCGTTGAGAACGTATGTACTTCGTGCTCAAAAACAGAAACGCACCACTTCTGTTTCACTAATTCTTTTCAGAACACTAAAGGTTTGACCTGGCTTTGCTTGAAACAAGTTTATATTGAAAACGTAGCAAAATTTGTCTTGATAATCTTTTGAGGTTTTACTTTGATCTTACCTGCTTCAGTAGTCATATCAAACATGACTTTGTACTCTTCATCGTTGAGTTGAAGCATTGTTCGGAGAATTTGCAGCAATTGTCTACGCTCTCCGCTCACTTTCTCGGGTCTCATAAACTGAAATACATAGGTAAATAGATTTTGATCGTATTTTAAAGCCTAAATCTTACTGCCAAAGTTTTAAAGTTACTTGTTTGTCCATTTACTAACCTGGAAAATGATGTTCTTGATATACTCGGTGTTGTTGATGTGATTCTCGCGCTCGTTATTTCTTTGAGTTCGACGAATTTCTTCTTTCAACAGAGAAACCTAAAAGTATCGGCAGGCTCGGCAGATTTGTAGTAAATTTGATCAATCAGATCTAACCGATGATCAATCAGATCAATCAGATCTAATCGATGATCAATCAGATCAATCAGATCTTCCCCAATCAGATCTAACTGATGAGTCCTGTCACTTCACAAACCTGATCAGCGAATAATTCATTGTTTCCTTCACTCTCAGCCAACAATTCTCGCAGGGTAGTGTTCTAGAAAGTTCTTAATACTATAAGACAAGGTTCTTTTTGATTTTTGCGTAAGTCATTTCCCTTTCAGCTCCTCTAAAAACGCTCACAGGCAACCGATTTACTTAAGTTAGGGGTCAAAATGAAGAGAATTGTTCCCAGATCATTTATCTGAAAACAAATTAAAGAAATATTGAATTTGAAGAAAGTTTAGAATGTTTTAGCAGAAATGTTTTAGCATAAGAAGCAAAAGAAAGCATTAGCAAAATTACCCGTGTCACTGGTGACCCGGGAATTAATTAACATTCAAAGTTTCATAACTTTCTTCAAACTCAATATTTCTTTAATCTGTCTTCAGATAAATGATCCTCAAACCTTTCTCTTCATTTTGAGCTTTAACTCATGTAAATCGATTGCCTGTGAACGTTTTTAGACGAGCTGAAAGTGAAATAAGTTACACAAAAATCAAAAAACCTTGTCGTGAATGTTTTAAACTTGTTGATAAAACTCTTAACTAACTTGTTGCTCTGCCACTTTTAGTGTTTCTTTTAGTTGTGAAACGGTGGCAATCGGGTACTCGTCTCCTCCGTAAATCGATCCCTCAATTGTGTCATTCATGTGATCACCAAAGAGAACATCGTGTAGAGAAGCCTCGGGAATTGGTTCGGATCCGGCGAATGTCGGTGAACCAATACTTCTTGAGGAGCTAAAAAGACAGTAAATCTCGATTTCTACAAGGTGCACCCTAGAAAAGCTACCGTAATCTTGTATCTCTTTCTTATCCATAGTAGCTTTTTCTTGGTTGTAGTTGTATTTTGCTTGAACTCACTAGGTTTGATGTACTGGTTCCTTTTCGACACTCCGATTTTGCATACTTGGTGTACTTGGTGCTGGCGTTGAACTCGTTGGCATCATTTTCTAAAAAACAGTCTTTCAATTAGTCAAAACAACTGCCAAATACTACTTTTACAAAACTTACATTTACATTGTCAAGTTGTTTTTGTAATTCATCTCTTTCTCGCCGTAAACCATCGATTTCTGACTTCAGCTTGTGCTCGACTTGCTCGAAACGTGATGAGTCGAGTTTTCGGTCGGAAATTATCTAAATATTATTACACTTACAAATTCGACTATATACCGCAAATACTCTAATTGAAGCCCCGTCTATAGGAGCATCGCGTATTCTAACTTCTTTTAGGAAATCATTTTTTCTCCACCCCCTAGATTTTTACCAGCTACAATTTTGGTACCAAAAACGATTTCAAGGACTATCATTTGACACCCAAGCATTGGAGGTCTTATGGAAATGATTGCTACTGCATTTTTACGAGGATAAGATAGACGTAAATATTCTAATAGAAGAGTCCCCTATGGGAGCGTTGTGTAGTCTAACTTTACTCTCGAACAAACGCTCATATCTCGACACCAGTACGTTTGTTTCTGAGCGCTTTGGTATCAAATTAAAGTAGAGAGAATGGGTGTTTTTTTTGAGATATCATACAGATTTCTAACATTAACCAGTGCTTAGAAAAGAATCACCCATTCTCTCTACGTAGTCTAGGTTTACACTCAAAGAACCGCTCATATCTCGACACCAGTACGTTTGTTTCTGAGCGCTTTGGTATCAAATTAAAGTAGAGAGAATGGGTGATTCTTTAAGATATAACACATATTTTTAGCATTAACCAGCGCTTAGAAAAAAATGATTGAAAAGTGGCAAAAAAGTAGATTTTTTATCACTTTTTCTAAGGGCTGATTAATGCTAAAATGTTATGTGTTAATGCTATGTGTTATATCACAAAAAATCACTCATCCTCTCTATTTTAATTTGATACCCAAGCGCGCAGAAACAAATGTCTGGACGCCAAGATATGAGCGGTTCTTTGAGTGTAAACGGTAAACGCCGAGAGATGAGCGATTGACTACGCGACGCTCCTATAGGCGCTTCAATTAGAATATTTACGGGAAAGATTAAAAAGCTAAATCCTACTGTCACAATTCACTTTTCAAACCTTGTCAAGTACTCCCTCGTGATCCCTTTTTTGCCTCTCCAATGCCTGGGCTCCTCTGTTCTGTTCATCGCTCAACGCAGTCTCATATCTTGAGCGCAATTCTCGCAAATCGTCCATAGCTCGAGTCAACGAGGAAATATTGGCTTCAGCTAAAATTTTCTCATAATACTGACAATGAGTTTCAGAGGGAATGACAAAATTGAGGCAAACCTTCAGCTTTCCATTTCTCGGCCTCTCGCTCGGCTCGGCTCACCTTCTCGCTCCATCTCATTGATTCTTCGGCACGCATTGTTGCCTCGTTTCTGTAATACCATGATTTCTAGTGACATGATGATACTAGAATTGGTCCTATTTCAAGAAATTCTCCATACTCACTGTATCCTCTCGATTTCCACATCTTTTCCTTGCAATTCTTGTTTCAGCACCCCGATTTCTTGGTTCAAATTGTCGTAAGTGGAGGGAATTCGGTTTTTCCACGTATCATTGTACATCAATTTCGTTTTAGCCTAAAAATTTTGTATCACTGACTGACGAATTTCCCTAACAATATATTTTGTGTGCTCTTCTTGAGCGAGGGTTAGCTTTTCTGAAAGCACTTGAGTCTCCGAGGCGAGTGAGTCGCGTTGAGCCTGAAAGTGAAACGGTTTAATATTAAAGAAACGGTTATTAAGAAACGGTTTAATATTATTATTTCAAATTGCTTTTTTCTCACTTTTACAGAAGCCAGCGACGCCTTGAGCATATCGATGTGTAGGCTCGTCTGCGAGAGCTCGTTTGTCAGATCGAGAACTTGTTTGACACTAAAAGAGTACTGATTTTCTTGCAAAAGTTGAATTTTTCTTAAATAAATAGCTTTTTTTGTTCTTTCTTTTGTCCCAAACCTGTGGCTATCCTCGTGGATCTTCGTCTGCATCAACTCCATCTTCGACGTCTCCACTTCTCGTTTTTGCAATCGCAAGTCTGAATTTCAATTTTATTTCACAATTGCACATAAAATCTTTCCAGGATTTTTGAGTTTTTTTGCTAAATTTAATTGTCCTCCTTACCTTCAGCCTCTCTTTTCGCAATCTCCAACGCTTTCTCGAGATCCACGTTGAATTGATTGCTCTAAAATATGTATACAGTTCAATGAAAGATGAAAGGGTGTCGGAAAATTATGGTTAACGTATTGCCTCTAATAGAAGCCGCACTAAAATAGAAGAATAAGAAGCCGCACTAAAATGACGAAGCCCCGCCCACTCACCTGAGAGACAAAAAGTTGCACCAAATTGCGGGTTTTTAACTAAAAGTTCTGGAATTTTGTTAAAACTTGCACATTCCATAAGCGCATCTATAGAAACAAAATAAATTGGATTTGCTTTATCCATTGCTGAGAAAACTAAAAAACTTTACAAAAAAATTTATGCGTCGTTTATTTTCAAAGTTTTTGAGTTTTCTCAGCAATGAATAAAGCAAATCTAATTTGGTTGTTTTTCTATAGAAATATGGCTTATGGAATGTGCAATTTCTGACAAAGTTTCAGAACTTTTACGAGGCACTTAAGAGGCAATCCGCTACGCGCATCTACTGCCTTTAACTGCTTTCTGTCTTTCTTTTTTTCTTGTTTTCTTATTAATTCGATGATTTGGTTGTTTTTTAAATATGAAGTCTAAGAAAGAGCTGCATCCAGCCATTATTACTCTTCATCAGCAAGGAAAAACACTCGCAGAGATATCTCGACTCTTGTGAGACAGTGGATAGAACGGGAAAAAAAGTGACAGAATGTTTTTCGCGCTCTGAAGTGTTTAAAAGAAACGGGCTCCAATGAAGATCGTAAAGGTCCACCAAAGATTGCCAACAATTCAACGAATGATGATTTTTGATCGACTTAAAAGAAACCCCCAACTCCTGAAAGAATTCTGTTTGAAAAATGGCCAAGTCTGTTCGTATTGGAAAAATTTCTCATCAGAACGGCTCATCGAATCCTCAAAACAACCGGAATGAAAGCCAGAAAAGGGATAAAAGAACATTTTTGGCAGATCCAATGAAGAGAAAACGTTTGGAACGTCGCAAACGACTTTTAAGGTGATTTGCTGCTGGCCGAGACCGGAAGATCCTCTTTACGGATGAAAAGTGGTTTGATATTGAGCAGGCCCACAACCATCAGAACGATCGAACTTGGTCCAAAGAACCTCTTCCGTTAGACGACAGAATTGTTTCAAGACAAAAAAATCCTCAAAAAATCATGGTTTGGGCCGGTGTCATTCATGAAGACGCCCTTGATCTTCATTCCCGCTGGAGTCAAACTTGACAAGAAAGTTTACGTCGATATGATTGAAAAGGAAGTTTTGCTTTGATTTCAAGCGCACTTTGGTGCCAATAATGATTGGGTTTTTCAAAAAGGCGATTCTCCATCTCACAAGGCTGTTGTTACACAAGATTTGATCTCCAACAACTTCCCAGATTGCATTACCGTGGACATCAGTCAAAAACGCCTAGGCCAATGGCCATCAAACTCGCCCGAGCTGAATCCCATACTCAATATGATTCTTAAAAGCAAGGTATTTGCTAAAGCCCACAAATCGATTGATTCTTTGAAAAGAGATTTAATCAAGGCATGGAACGAAATCTCTATCAGCACCATTGAAAAAGCCATTGATGATTTCCCAAAGCGCTTAAGAAAATGTATTAATGCTAATGTCACCATAATTGTTGGATACCCTGTCTATGATAGTAGCTAGTTATTAAATAGTGAATCTAGATTTAAACCAACATTCTTCAGTTCTTCTTGACAAGTGGTCAAGCTCTTGCTCAACTCGTCATGCTCTTTGAGTGCCGTCTCCAATTTTGTTGCCATCGACGATTTCTCTTCTTTGAAGGATTTGATCTAAACGAAACAGTATTTGCAGATTTTGTCTATTATTCCCATAATTCTATTTTTTGAACTCTTTTAGTCACCTGTTTATCGTAATCAGCCAACTCTATGCTCATTGCCTTCAGCGAGCTTGACGCCTCCGAAGTTAAGCCCTTTTCCCGACTCAACTTTGCTTCATACTCAGCTTTCAACTCGGCTCGTAGCTCATCCACCTAAAAGTTTTGCCATTTTTAAATGCCGTCATGGCCGACAAGTTCCCTGTATCTTAGCTGAGAGGTCAAGGGTTCAATCCCGTCGGCTAGATTAGGGTTTTTTCTTTCCAATATTTAGGGCTTAGGGCTTAGGGGCTTGCTTGTGTATTGTTTGTATCACAGTATTTGTGTGAATAAACGTATTTAATTTTCTCGGACGAGAAAGCTTCTATTATGTGCTTGGATGTTTTTCTACCTCATGATTCGAGAATCCGTTCTCCTGTTTTGGGGATTTCAGAGCAGTTTCATTGCTTGTCGTAGCTGAGAGCTGTGATAGAGCATCTTCCTGAAATTGAATGATTCAGCTTGATGGATAAATTGTGGAAAATTCAGATCTTGACTAATTTAAATTCAACTATTCTCTTACTATTAGAAGGAGATGCTTTGAATGTTCAAATTGGACTTATACAGTATTGTTTTCGATGAAAATGAAACTTACGCGTTTAGTATTCGTTTAACATCAGTCTAGTATTGGTTTAGTATCAATTTAGTTCGCTGAAGTATTAGTTTAATGCTTAGTATTCGTTTAATATCAGCTTAGTATTGGTTTAGTATCAGTTTAGCTCGTTGAAGTATTAGTTTAATGTTTAGTATTCGTTTAATATCAGTTTAGTATTGGTCTAGTATCAATTTAGTTCGCTGAAGTATTAGTTTAATGTCTAGTATTAGTCTAATATCCGTTTAGTATTGGTTTAGTATCAGTTTAGTTCGTTGAAGTATTGGTTTAATGTTTAGTATTAGTCTAATATCCGTTTAGTATTGGTTTAATATTAGTTTAGCTCGTTGAAGTATTAGTTTAATGTTTAGTACTAGTCTAATATCCGTTTAGCTCACTGAAGCCGACTGAAACTTGTTTTATCTAACAAGTCATAAACCATTTGCAAAACTGCAAAAATAATTCTATCATTGTACCATTTTCTCACCTTTTCTTTTGTCGCTTGTGCCAATTGCTCTTTCAGATGTTTTTGTTGTTCCAAAGTCTTTTTGAGCACTTTGATGAGATCATCTTTTTCCATCGATTGTAACTTCGTCGCCATTTTTTTTGTAATTAGATCTCAGCAGAATCCAAATTACATAATACTAAAATTTTTACATAAACTAAACTAGCTATATTAAGAATCTAGGAAAATCTTTGTATGTGTATCGGAAAAGGTTGTAGTTTGTCGATAAGATGTGGCAGCACGCTCTGCGCTCTCTGCAACGCTCTTTTCTGTCTGCGCTATGACTCCTCAAAAATGCAGTAAATAAATGCTTCTCTGAAATCTGTCAATTTTCAAAAACTATCGTAATTTTGGAAATTTTCGATATAATTTTAAATCTTTCAGCATCCTGAATCCTCACAGAATTTATTTCAAATAATCTTTTATTCTATCTTTCAAAAGATTTCTTTTATCTAATTACTGTCAGCTTCGAGCCAAACTGATATTTTAGTTACTATTGTTATTATTGAATGATTTGTCTATTCTTATGTAAATGTGTTCTCCCCTGTGCTTATCCCTTTCGAGAAGGGGCGATGCACATCGGCGCGAAAATGCGTTTTCTATAGGATTTTCCTGGGAGTGCCTTTTTTAGATGTGGAAAATTGTGCTGATTCCGAATCTGAAGGAATTTTTCAAATCCCTCTGACAGATTATCAAAATCAAAATGAATTTTGATTTTGAATTTTGAAATAAATTTTTATTAAATAGAATCTTATTGCAATCATTCTTTTCAGATATTTTTTTGTTAATATAGATACTTTATTCAGGACCTGAGATAAAGTGCGCTAGATTTAAGATTAAAACACATAACACGAAAAGGGCCGATAAAAAGAAACACGATATAATATATGTAAAATGTGGGTAGCACAGATAACGTCAAGGATCCACTAGAGCTTCAAGATCAAGATCATCTACAGATAATTTAAAGGTTTCGAGACTATTGGACTCTCTCAAAACTCTGGGAGTCGATTCCAAATTCTGGCAGTTCTTATTGGAAAAGAGTTATAAACAAACTTATACGGAGGTGACTGGAATTTCTAAAACGAAAGAACCTCTCCTTGAACTAACCGTGGGATTAACTTTGAATAAATCTCGAAAAAGAGGGATAGGTTGCCTGCCCTTTACAATTTTGAAACATTCTATTAAATCCGTGACCAAGCGGCGGTGTCTAAGAGATTTAAGATCAAAAATTTTGAGCCTATCTGTGTAACTAAAGTATGCAAATTTGGAAAAATCTATTTTCCATAGAGCTATCTTAGTATATCTCTGCTGGATTTTTTCTAGGCGAGATATATCAACTTGTGCATGTGGAGACCAAACTATAGATGCATACTCTAGAATGGGTCTAACGTAAGTGATGAAACACTTTCTGTAAGTGTCAACTTTCGGATAACAAATTGCTTTTAGGATACGACTAGAGACAAAAACAAAAGAAGCTTTACGGCAAATAATTTCAATGTGTTTTGACAAATTTAAAGGTGGGGAAATATGAACTCCAAGATCTCTGATATAATCCGCTTTGCCAATTCTGTTTAATGGTGTAGAATTAATTTTCAGCGGGAAAATAGCATTTCCGGTGGAGAAATGACGGGATTTCGTAGACGCTAAAGCTAATTTCCAATTATGGGACCATTTTTCAACCAGATCAAGATCTGACATGGCGTCTCTTAAAGAAGCAAGCTTAGCGGCTTCATCTTTGATGGGAATTTTAAAGGTTAGTTTAGCGTCATCAGCATAAAGTCAGATAGATGAGTCCCTAGATGAAAAGTTTAATTTGACAGAAATTTTTGAAAAAAACCGATCGAAGTGGCTCGTTTAAGAAAAATTTTAAGAAAAAAAAAGAAAAAACCCCATTCACAACTCAGCAGAATTTGGATTCTGAGATCTGATTACAAAAAAATGGCGACGAAGTGACAATCGATGGAAAAAGATGATCTCATCAAAGTGCTCGATCTTGTTTAAAAGTACTCAGCCGGATTTCCTTTCCAGAAATTGAAAGCTACTATAAAACATGGTTTTTCTTATTTTTCATGCAAACATGACTTTTTTTGGGAGTGGGACAAATGCGACCTTTTTTTTTGCGCACCCGGACATTTGCGCACCTTTTTTTCCGCACCTTGCCCATTAGGCACCTTTTTTCGCGTTTTAAAAAGCTCTAAAAAGCTAATATTAACCAATTTCTATTCCAAAAGTTGTTTTTTTAGGTAATTTGAGGGTGTAGAATTCAAATTTTGACATAACAGAGCGTGTGGAACCAATTTGAAAGACAAAACGGGTAGGTCAAATTACAGAAAATTATCGATTTTTCTCTTTGTATACCTCCGTCCGTTGGCTTCCACAAGCTCTGATATGTCAAAATTTCGATTCTACGCCCTAAAATTACCTAGAAAAACAACTTTTTGAATAGAAATTGGTTAATATTAGCCTTTTAGAGCTTTTTTAAAACGCGAAAAAAGGTGCGCTAATGGGCCAGGTGCGGAAAAAAAGGTGCGCAAATGTCCGGGTGCGCAAAAAAAAGGTCGCATTTGTCCCACTCCCGACTATTATACATACCGAGGTATCTTTTAAGGGTACTTGAAAAGATTGTGCTTGAAAATGCAGTTCAGATGAGTATTTTATAAACACTTCATTGCAATAAAAGACCAAATTTCGTTTTCATGATTGATCAGATCGAATAACATCAGGTTTTCGTGGTTGCGGTTTAACTATCGTTGAATCTCCAATTCGTGATGTGAATCGCTTTTTGAGATGCTGAAAATGAAATTTTCCAATCAAATTATTGTCAATGTCGCATTCTTTGTCTATTCACTTACCTGATAAAGTTTAATGAAAAGATCTCGATAGTATTTTGTCACAAAAAGAACGATGAGACAATTGCCGGAAGAATGCAAAGTGGTTATCATTAGTGCATTAGATAAAATTTCTCCTGAAAAGGAAACCATATAAATAGGAGTTTTAAATACTTACTTGTTTCCTTATCTTGAACAATTATTGATAAAAATAATATAATCCAAGGTAGAAAAGATATTGTCACCAAAAAGATCAACTAGATATTTTTAATGACATTTTTTTCACAATTAGTTTAAGTAATTGAAGGTTTTAACTAGGGAATTTTGTCAAGTCAAGATCGAGTTTTCACATGGGTCTTGGCCCATCTGATAGAGTTTTCATTGGGGATCCTGAATCTGAAAACTCGATCTTGACTTGACAACATTCCCTATTAAGATCATCGAATAGATCTGTGAACACAAAATCGGTCGGAACCTTTTTGAAACCCAGAGACAAAAGTCCTAGATAAAATTTCCAAGAACGAATCAAAGGTGAAAAATTCTATCGAATACAAATTCTATCAACTTCATCGCCTCTAGACAAGCCGACTTTGCTGCAGGGATCGAAAAACTGGCTACTCGTTGGCAAAAGTGTATTGATTCTAGCGGTTGTTATTTTGATTAATTTGATTTTTTTAAATTAAAATTTTTGGCGATTGGAAATCATTAAGAAAAATGCAGTTATTTTCCGGAGTATTTAATAAATATCATGCGAGAATCCACTCATGTACCTGAACTAAAGAAACTCGTAATAATTTTGACTCGGAATCTATCAAAACACCATGTATGTTTTCAAAATTTCAAATAAATTTATAATTATGTCTACTTTTGCAATTAATTTCAAATCCAAAGGCCTTTTATTTCTTTTGGAATCAGTTTTTGATTGAAAGCACTCACAAAAATTGACTTTCTTGAAATAAATTTTTCTATTCTAGATAACCTTGATTTAAAATCGGATTATTACATAACTTTTTATTAGAGAAAAGTCATAAAAGAGCATTTTGATGGTTTAGTTTAGATATTCTGAAAAATTGCGAAAAGACTTCTTTGCCAACTTAATATTTTGTAAGTGAAACGACAGTTAAAATTTGAAATCCGATGACGACTCGCCAAATTTTTAAAGCTATAAGTTTTGCGTTTCAGCTTTAATCAACCCGCACTTTTTTCTATTCGTTTAAAAAGGGTTTAAAGAATAGAATTCCTTATGACTGACTAGGTTTACTAAGAATTTTCAGAAAATTCAGATAGTTGGTAGGGAATATTCAGGCGGCCAGGCATTTGATTGCGTTGATTCTGGCGATATATTGCTAATTAATTGGCGATATAATGCCAATTAATAAATCAATTTGCTTGTGCGTTAAATTTAGAACAAAGTTGCTATGATTATAAACTATTATAGTTGTTATCTTTAACGCTGAATTTGACGACCGAAGGACAAGAAGGTTTCGAACTTTTGTGTCCCTCTGTACATAGTCATCAATCTTAGAGTTTGTAAACAGCTCTTACAGCAAGAAAGCAAAAAAAAAAGTAGCAAGTAACCGGCTCTTAGAGTATCTTTAATCAGCTGTCGTCACAATTTGCAACCAATAAACAAAGACTTAGCAAATATTGTCTACAGAGAAGTGCTTGACTCACAGTGAGGAATCACTTCAAATCGATTGGCGGCTGTTTATCAAAAAAATGGGGTTAAAAGGAATCAACGGTTGTCGGTGTGCTTTTGATTCAATCATTGAGAAATAACCAATAGCACTTGTTAGACAATGACACTTGTTAGTCGTCTATTTACCCTCAAAAGAAAAGGTGTTACCGGAAGTGTTATTTAGTCTTTATGCACTGTTTGACTCCAGGAAATCTTGGCTTGAGTATTCAAATAACTTTAAGGGATTGTCAAAAAAAGCTCTTAACCCATTCGAAACTTCTGCAGCGAATAATCGCTGCAGCAAAAACTCAGGAACGGACCGCTGCAGCGATTATTCGCTGCAGCGCTAATTGAGCTATTTTCATTCAATTAATTGGTTTTTTTTGCTGTTTTTCAGCATTGCATGTATATTCCAATTGTAGCAGATCTACAAATTACGTGGGCAAAGAAGATGTTTTATATTTACCCGGAATCAATGCAGTCTCTGGTTTTGCATTGAAATGTTCCATAATAGCTCTAATCTTATAAAGCCGATCTCCTGCAGGATCCAGTTCATTATCACAAAAACGCAGGTTTCGAAGAATAGATTCAAATTTTGCTCTTGACATAATGTGGGACATGTGGGAAAATCCTCCTAATCCAGGCCTGCTACTCCAGTAGTCACGATACAGAGCCAGGAAGAGCTTGCATCGAAATCCTGCCAGTTTTTTTTCCTTTTTCCATGTTTATTAGATTCGCCTACTAACATGCTGATTAATTTGTCGTCGATAAAATAAGAATAATATAGGATTTTGAAAAGTACTGAAGTCAAATCCAAATCGTTCTTCATCAAAAATAAATGGTGTAGGAGACTCTCTTGCATCTTTCCAACCATAAATAAACTGCTTCGGAGTCAAAAATGTCAAAAAAGGGCTTGGTCCGTAGACGAAAAAAAAGAAAAAACGCTGCGGTTTCGAATGGGTTAAAGATAAAAATCTTAGAAGATTTAAAATGATCTACATGATGCGGTAGAAATATGAAAACTCAAGTTATTGAGTTTGACTGAGTTCTCAACTCTATCATTTCATCTCTTATTTCGTTTTCTTTTCGCTATCTCTTGCTCTTTTTAAAACACAACTTTTCCCATTGCTTTCTTTCATTTTAAATTAAGTATTGTTTAAGTAAAATTTTGGATTCGGTCTCTCAATCGTCTTCAGTCTCAAAAAACGACGGTAATGCGAAGTTGGGTTTTTTAGAACTTTGAGACAGCAATAAATACTCAAAGGAAAGGTTTCTAGGGGTAGTTTTGCAAGTTCTTTCCAAAAAACACGGTTTCAAGATGATTAGAGCATGGCATCAACAAGAAAAACTGAAAGCTGAAACTGAGAGCTGAAAACGTCGTTTTTCCAAACCCTATTTTGCGCACCGCGAAATGTGTCAAAAGTCAAAATAATAATAAAAGGCGATAGAGCATCTTATAGAGCTCGTTTTCAGCTTTCAGAATCATTATAACCCCTTCTAGTTTACGATGGAAAGGCTCGATTATAGCTCTTCAAAGATGAAGATAAACTCTTTTGATTATCTTTTGTCCAGTACTAGATTTCACGGTTTTCGTAGATTTCTGATAGAAATTTTTGCAAAAAACCGCTTCTTTCATTGAATTCCAATGTTTTATTAAACTTCTTAAACATGTTCATGTTTTTGGGCGATCGTGATCATAAATAGAATCTTAGAACGATTCATAGTAGTTCAATCGGGGAATTTCCGACGCGCCCACTTTGAATAATTTTCAGAACTTTTAGGAAACACTTCCCTTTATCCAGTAATGTTTTTCCTAGAGCAAGTAACTCAGAATATACCAGCAAAAAAGAATTCTTTCATTTGAGGCATCGAGAGCTGAGTTAGACTCAATAAATCGATAAAGCAATCATAATTCTGCCGCACTCTGTACTGAACTTTTTAAACTTTTCATTTTTTACACCGGAAACGGTAATCCAAGGTCAATTCGTGAACTTAAACGGGCATTTAGGGTGAGGCATTTTTCTCGGAAAACCCTAAAACCATTCAAAACAGAAATGGGTTGTCGGGTTCTCCATTGTGAACGAATCAACCAAAAGTGGCAATTCTAACGGTAATTTTCTCGATTATTGACATTGGATTCATTGGATTCCGATCATAGACAACTTCTCGAGGCCAAATGGTTGATGGAAAACCGGGAAGGGATTGGAAACATAAAGCATTTCAAAAATATGTCTCATGCTGGAATCGAACCAGCGACCTTCTGTTTACTAGGCATTGAAGTTTACTAGACAGACGCTCTGCCACTGAGCCAATGAGACGATGAGATCCAAGAATTCATAGTATTCTCATGAATGGCACAATTCCCCTTGGATTTCAAAAAGGAATTGCCCACTATCAGGATTGAACTGATGACCTTCTGTTGACTCAATTCTTTTACGAGACAGACGCTCTGCCACTGAGCTAAACGGGCGATGAGTTGTATAAAGTGACAATGTATATTGAGATTAAGGGTACTGAACAAGGCTCAAAATCAATCCAAAAATTTCATGCCCCCAGGCAGGATCGAACTACCGACCTTTGGTTTACAAGACCAACGCTCTACCACTGAGCTATAAGGGCTGTTGAAAAGTGGGAAATGGAGGAGAAATTTCTGTTTTTGAATATTTGAACAGCCTATTGGGTGCTCTTTTGATGTTTTGATGAACAAATATCTCTTACATCTATTCATTATCCATTTTTCTTTCTCCCAACTCATTGCCCGTTTAGCTCAGTGGCAGAGCGTCTGTCTCGTAAAAGAATTGAGTCAACAGAAGGTCATCAGTTCAATCCTGATAGTGGGCAATTCCTTTTTGAAATCCAAGGGGAATTGTGCCATTCATGAGAATACTATGAATTCTTGGATCTCATCGTCTCATTGGCTCAGTGGCAGAGCGTCTGTCTAGTAAACAGAAGGTCGCTGGTTCGATTCCAGCATGAGACATCTATTTTTGAACTTTTGTAGAAGTCAGTGAGCGAAATTTGATTGGTTAAACGGACTTTGCCGGGTTCTTGAGGCTTTTCAGAGAGGATCCAATCTCGCTGGTTCGATTCCAGCATGAGACATCTATTTTTGAACTTTTGTAGAAGTGAGTGAGCGAATTTCGATTGGTTAAACGAATTTTGGTGGGTTCTTGAGGCTTTTCAGAGGGGATTCAATCTCCACGCAAAAAATTTTAATGCAGTCAACTTAATTTTTGGCGTGTTGCCTAAGCTTTGTGATTTCTAGTCAAACGATGCATTGATTCTTTCAGCTAAAACTTCACCTAATTCATTTCGATTTCTTTCGGCCGGACAATTTAGTTTATGAGCCAAAAAACAACTTCACAAAAACCTTTTAAACTTTTGTAGATGTCAGTGAGCGAATTTTGATTGGTTAAACGAATTTTGCCGGGTTCTTGAGGCTTTTCAGAGAGGATTCAATCTCTACGTGAGATTGCAATCAGTATATGCCGAAAATTTGCAAATCTGCATTGTTTAAAAGCAATTTCCAGCAAAAAGAAAAGATTTTTGACTTTACAATAGTTTCTCCGGGTAAAACTGAGAAAAGAGTTCAACAATCGACCAGAAAGCCTTGAATACATATTTGCTTTGGATTCATTACATCTCACATTAGCGATTGGGTGTGAAAAGCCCTAAAAATCGATTCATTAGAGTATTTGAAAGTTTTTTATGACATTTATAACACATTTATAACATTTCTATTTTTTTTTATAACACTTTCTAGCAAAGAGTCAGTTTGATTAACGGTTTGATTAAGTTTTCAAATTAAAAGCCTGGTTTGACACAAATTTTATGCTGTGAGCTTTTGAAGACTTGCTTTTGTTCTTCAATTTTGAAATTTTGAACATTTTGTTTGTTTTTCCATTTATTTTACATAAGCTCAGTTATCTACAGTAAGACCAAGCCTGCAGTAAAGCCAAAACCTAGGTTTGGTCCCTAAACCTGGCTAGGTCCCTAAACCTGGCTAGGTCCCTAAACCTGGCTAGGTCCCTAAACCTGGCTAGGTCCCTAAACCTGGCTAGGTCCCTAAACCTGGCTAGGTCCCTAAACCTGGCTAGGTCCCTAAACCTGGCTAGTTCCCTAAACCTGGCTAGTTCCCTAAACCTGGCTAGGTCCCTAAACCTGGCTAGGTCCCTAAACCTGGCTAGGTCCCTAAACCTGGCTAGGTCCCTAAACCTGGCTAGGTCCCTAAACCTGGCTAGGTCCCTAAACCTGGCTAGGTCCCTAAACCTGGCTAGGTCCCTAAACCTGGCTAGGTCCCTAAACCTGGCTCTTGGCCTGACCTTGGCCTTACCTGGATTGGCTTTGGCTTTGGACGGAAAATCATTTGGAACAACTCTGGATTGAACTCATTGAACAACTCTGAAATTATTGAAATTATTGAAATATTGCAGTTTCCTTTATTTGCCTTGAAATTTCCTTGCAAGATGCAGAATGAATTAACTTTTTTGGATCAAGTACCATTATTTCTTCCTTCCATTCTTTTAACTCAAACTAAAACATCTTGTTTCTTTGCTCTTCTTCAAACTTCACGATCAAAATAATATCAGTCCCCATTGAACCCACATTTCTTGACACCAAAACTTGGGAAAACCCGTGGTTGATATTCTCAAATTACTCATCTTTCATTCAGACTCGATGATGAGGTTGGGGGAGTTGGTGGGGTGAAAAATGGATACACTTTATTCTTGCAGAAAAGTGGAAAAAAAATTAAGAGAATTCGAGAAAATGAAAAAAGAAAATTTCAATGCAATGACGGGTTCTGTGTTTTGGATTTAAAAGTTTTGTTTTTATTTTAAAAAGGCACAAATCTAATCGATGACTTAATAAGGATTAGACAGATCATCGATTCTTCTGAATCCTCGAGATTCGAGGAATCGAGATTCGAGAACTCGAGCACCGCGAGATTGAAATTGCCAGAAAAATTGATCTTTTGCTTTTTGTTTTATATTCATCATGAAACTTGATGAATATCTTCTTTTTGTAAGCGTTTAGACGTCATCTTGAGCCTCACTATACCCAAATTCTTGGGAAGAATTTTTGCCTGACTTTTGGCTGCATTTTTGCTACAATTTCTGCATTATGTTAAGCCAAAACTAGCTGAGATACTCGAATTTGAAATCCTAAAGCCGTATTTTTTAGTGAGAATCAATCCCAACTCGGAATTATTATTATTAGTGAGAATCAATCAACCCCTCTTTAAATTTTTTGATTTCTCACTTTGCCATTTCAATCTCTTTAACATTTCTCTTTCACTGTATCTCAAATTATAAATTCTTTCCTACTATTAGAAATGGGTGAACCAATCCCGATGGAGCAGCAAATCCTCACGACAATGCTTGACCCAGCTTTTTATGATATGAGTGTACGACCGTTTGGAGAGGGAATGATTCTTTATATCAACATCACATTGAACACGTTTCGATTGCTAAATATGGTTCGTTTATAGCCAAAACTGGGAATTTAGTTCAGAGCCATGATTATTTAGAAATACTTCTAATTCATAGCCAATTACAATTACCGTATTTTCTCTAATAGTAGTGAACCCTGAGCGTCGCCTAAATTGCTCGAAATCTCGAGAATCGCTTATCAGAACCTATCGATGTGGGGTCGGAAAATGTAGCTGACGATGAGATCTTGTGGGGGATTTGAGTGTTGAGCTTCTGCGAAAACTTAGGAACCGTAAAATAGGCGCCAACTCGGCTTGGTGGGGTGCGCTACTCTTAGAGAAAATACGGTACTGGAAAACTAATAGTAAGCAAAAGCCTTTCTGATTGTGGTACCTTGTCAGATTGACTCTGGAACCTGTAAGCATTTTAGGGTTTCAGTAAAGCCAGTCCAGGCAAGTTTAGGAAAACTGGCTCCTGCCTGGACTGATTCTGACTTTGCCTAAACTAGTCTAGTTCAGAAAAATGCTCTTGGAACAACCTGTACCAGAAATTTCTTTCAAGATATTTCAATTTCTTCAATTTCTTTCAAGAAAATTTCCAGGACCAAGTCGAGGAAACGATTCAATTCCAAAACGAGTTTCTCATGGTTTGTGATAAAAATCAACTCAAAACTATTGTAATTTAGATGTGGATGGACCCAGGTCTCGGCTGGAATCGCTCCAATTACCCTGAATACTCCGCAATTTACGTGATGGCTCCAGAGGCTCAAGTTTTTGTGCCCGATGTAATCTATTACAGCACGTTTGTGAATCAAGTAAGATCTAATTGATTTTCTTTTAGAATAGACAGTTTTCCTATTGTTGACCCATCGATAGCGTATGCGATCGTTCGATACGATGGATGGATACGACTTTCGATGCCAGCTACGGTAACTAGAGCAACAATTATCTGAAATCTTTTTCAAGCCCACGGTTTTGAAGACCCAGGGATTTACTTCTTTGTTTCTACCTCTCTTCTTCCCCCTTGTCTTTCCTTCTTTCTCTCGGCAAGTTAAGGTACCGGATAGCTCAGTAGTTAGAGCAGGTGGAGGTCGAGAGCGGGGGTTCAATCCCCTCTCCGGAAATCTACTTCTTCTTGCCGATTCCTTCACTTGTCCGTTGTCTTTCCCCCCTTTCTCTCGACAAGTTAACGTACCGGATAGCTCAGTGTTTAGAGCAGTTGTCAGAAAGACCGAGGTCCAGGTATAACTCAACTCAACCCAACTCAACTCAAGTTCAATCCCCTCTCCAGAAATCGACTTTTTCTTTCCAATTCCTTCACTTCTTGATTGCTGAATCAATTTTTAGGTTACAGTCCCGTGTTCTCTGCATCTTGCGAATTTCCCGTATGATGAACAGGTGATTTTTGAATTTAAGTTAAGTCAAGTCAAGTCAAATCGTTTCTTGAGTCAAAATCAGATGGAGTTGAAACGTTCGAACTCATCCAAGTGTTCATTTTAGAAATGTAAAGTAACGCTTGGATCATGGATATTCAGAGACGATCAGATTGTCGTTTTACCCACAGATGGTCCACTCATAAAACCGGATCCTCCGCTGGCGTTGGGTCAAGTGATGTTTTAACTATTTCATCTAGGTTTTTATTACAAGCAACCAAAGTTTCCAGTTACAATTCTAAATTTGGAAGAACAATTGCTAGTTTTTTACTGCTGCTCTGTTTTACATACTTTACAGAGCCTATAATCATCATATTCTTACAACACTTGTTTCCAGCTTGGCTCTATCACTTTTACTGGAAACTCTGAATGGGAACTTCTCTCAATTGATGTCAGCCGTGATTTTATGGTGAAAGCAGTCTTCTATTAACATATTTTCAAATTTCCAGTACATTGAAGATGATGGAAATTACTCATTAATCCTCTACACAGTTCATCTGAAACGAAAACCGGTTTACTATGTGATGGTTATTCAAGTAAGAGCTGAATTGAAGTTCTGAATGTGCTGAATTGTACAAACAAGTTCAACAAATTCAAGTTATTCTTGCTCGATTCTATTTTTAGTTTTGAAATTGAAGCTACATGTTCGGAAAATTTCCGAGATTTTAATAGAAAGCTTGGGTTAAACTGAGTTAGAGTTTAACTGGGTTAGACTCGTGCCTTAAAAATCAGCACTAGACAAACATTAGACATACGCATTTTCGGTCCGTTCGTCGATAGGTGTAAAGCGGAAATTCATGTCTTGAGCCCTTTAAAATCGACTTTTTTAAACATTTTTTTTTCACCATTAGATACAGCTTGTAAAATCAATCAATCAAATACTATCTAACGGTAAAAAAACGTTTGAAAAGGTTGATTTTAAAGGGCGGCGTGAATTTCCGTTGTACACCTATCGACAAACGGACCGAAAATGCACATGTCTAATAAACATGAGAAATCAGGACTGAATAGGAAAAGGCATGGAAACAAGGTGACTTTTTTGAACGGAACCTAGCTCATATTGTACAGCTTTCCATGGGGAATTTGATGATGCTTTTAGTTTTGCCAAAGGAGCTCTATAACGCGAGTTATTTGGAACAAACGTCAAGTTTCATATTTGAGGCGGTGCGCGCACGCCAGATCAAGAAGTAGTGTAATGGATAGGCCTGTATCAGAATCAAAAGATGTTCTTCTTTGCCCGGGTTCAATTCCGGTCACACAAAGTTTTTCTTTTTACTTTTGTTTTGATGTAAGAACTTCTTAGTAAGAAAACGCATACCTTCTTACTACTGAATAGGAAAAGGCATGGAGACAAGGTGACTTTTTTGAACGGGAGCTAGCTCATATTGTGCAGTTTTCCATGGGGAATCTGGTGATGCTTTTAGTTTTGCCAAAGCCTCTATAACGCAAGTTATTTAGCAAAAACGTTTTGGCATACCTTCTTAGTAAGTAGGTATGCGTTTTCTTACTAAGAAGTTCTTACATCAAAACAAAAGTAAAAAGAAAAACTTTGTGTGACCGGAATTGAACCCGGGCAAAGAGGAACATTTTTTGATTCTGATACAGGCCTTCTATCCATTACACTACTTCTTGATCTGGCGTGCGCGCGCCTCAAATATGAAACTGGACGTTTTTGCGAAATAACTTGCATTACAATTATTTCGCAGAGCTCCTTTGGAAAAACTATTAGGGTGATCCAAAAGTTTTCTATTTTTTTTAATTAAAACTTTCAACGTAAATAAAACAACAATGGCCGAACTCTAAGTTTCGAAATAAAGACCATTTGAATCTATAACTTGAAGCCATCTATCGGAAAGTTGGCCGATCCCGCGGCGGTGATCCAAAAGTTTTCTATTTTTTTTCTCTTTAAGTTTGAACAATTTTTTAAAAGTGGTACCGCCGCGGGATCGGCCAACTTGCCGATAGATGGCTTAAGAACTTCTTAGTAAGAAAACGCATACCTTCTTACTAAGAAGGTATGTCAAAACGTTTTTGCTAAATAACTTGCGTTATAGAGCTCCTTTGGCAAAACTAAAAGCATCACCAGCGCCCCCATGGAAAACTGCACAATATGAGCTAGGTCCCGTTCAAAAAGCCACCTTGTCTCCATGCCTTTCCTTAGTAGGGGTTGTAGGTCAAATTTTGTGCGGCTTTTTACATATTTTTGAAGACTACAGTATTAGAACAGGAGAAAAAACAGGATTGTTTCAGGCACCGACATTAATCATTGGAACGATTACAATCTTTGGAATGTTTACTCCATTTAGTCAACGGATGGAAAGATGGCAAAAGGTTGAATTTAGGAAAATTTAAAAAAAAAAAAGATAAAGCTCATTCTCTTGAGGTTGAACTCGGACTGAACATGTTATTGGCTATTTCAATGATGTTGAATCTTGTCTCGAGCATGATGCCCAAAGCTGAACGATTACCTTTATTAGGTTACAAAAAGGTTATAAACGAATGATCGACTTTTAGGCAACTACATCATAGCTGAGATATTTATCTGCTCCGTTGGAATCATCGTTTCGATTTGCATATTAGAGCTGCACTCAAGAGCAGATCAAAGAAATTGGAGACCACCAGATTTGTGAGTGTTTTTTTTAATAGAAGATTGCCATGTAAATAAAATCATTGTTAATTTTTAGACTTTGTCGATTAATTCTTTTCTCTTGTCGAAAAAGATCCTCCCCAGTCGCTTTGCCGGATCCTCCGCGACTTCTACCCATCAAGCCACCAACCGAGAAAGAAACCGAAGATCAACACAAATTGAATGTTGTCAAGAATCAATTATCACAGGTTATACTTTTAACATTAGCTTTATACAGTAGTAGGGAAGTAGAAGTACCAGATTTGTTAGCTAAGCCGATTTGTTTATTAAATCGGTACTGACTGGCTGGCTAGACCTGGCTGGCTGGACCTGGCTGGCTAGACCTGGCTGACTAGACCTGGCTGACTGTTCGGATTTGAGTCAATCTCAAATCTAGCTCTGAAAAAAAGTCATTGTTAATCTTTAGACTTTGTCAATTAATTCTTTTCTCTTGTCGAGAAGATTCTGGTTGATCTGGTCTGGTACAAATCCCTAGACAAAATCCTATTCTGAACAAGTACCAGGTTCATTGAGCAATGCCAAACAAAAATTTAACAATATTGAGTCTAATACTCGACTCAATTAGTCTACTGAAATCCATATGAACTCAATCTCAGTTCTCGATGCTCTACTTGTCTACTTTATTGAATCCTGAAAGCTTTGAATTCTAAATAGTGCGTGAAAAGTTCTGTTCCCTTTCTAAGAATCATTTGTACGGCTCGAACCAAAAAAGTTAGAGAAAAACCGACTTCAAATTTGAAAATTTTGACTATTTTTACCTTAAAAATGCTTCTTCATAAAAAGATTTTTGTTTTGAAAATCATTCTTTTTTTGCTAAATTGCCCACTGACTTCTTTGACCTTCTGGTCCTTTTGAGCGCGAAAATTTTGACTTGTTGTTTAAAAATAACGAGCTCTTAACCAATCTGACCGTAAAACGGCTAGTTTTAAAGGGAAATGTTTCCTTTTTTCTAATATTTAAAAAAGTTTATTTTATTTCGGTTTTTTTCATCTTTTGAAATCAATTAGCGACCCAAAAGCAAGTAAATGAGTAAGTAAATGAGCAAGTAAGTAAACAAGTAATGAGTTCCGCAAGTAGTCGTAGCCAAAAACAGATTTTCGAAACAAAAGATCTTTTTAAGAAAAAGCATTCTTAAGGTAAAAATGGTCAAAGATTTCAAATTTGATGTCCGTTTGTCTCTATTTTATTTGATTTTTGTCTAATACTTTCAATTAATCTGACAAAAACAAATGATTTGAAAACGAAAAAGAAACGACGACGCGGCGCTCCCATCGACTACCTTCAAATGGCGGTGACGTTAATTGGAATGCGACGTTGCGCAAAAATTAACATTTAAAATTTGCGACAGAAATTCAAATTTAACATGAAAACGGCTGAAAAAACACCTTTTTTTCTCTTTGAAGATCATTCTCTACTCAAAAGTTCAGAAAGTTATTCAAAAATCATTGGTTTACTAGTGTGGCGAATTTCCACTGCTCTGCAGTTAGTCAAAATTCAATACACAAGTTAAAAAGCAAAGTTGATGGATAAACTGCCGTAATCAACCACCATAAACCAACCGTAATCAACCGTAATCAACCACCATAAACTATCGTAATCAATATCGTCAACAGACGATATTCAGTTGTCCGTTTGTCGTAGCTTATTTACTTAAAAACCCATTATTTAAGCTTAGTTTTTGAGTCAGTTGCGTGCTCCCTTTTCTATTCATCCTTTTTCACACCAAAGTGTTGAAGTAATTGTGATAGTGCCAGGTTGCTCCAGTTTGAGCGAAGTTTGCCTTGATAAGGGAAAGTTTTGATAAATTGTGCGTTTTCAAGACCTTTGAACTCTCTACCATTGATCCTCTACCATTGAACACCAAGACCTCTACCATTAAACCTCTACCATTGAACACCAAGACCTCTACCATTGATCCTCTACCATTGAACACCAAGACCTCTACCATTAAACCTCTACCATTGAACACCAAGACCTCTACCATTGATCCTCTACCATTGAACACCAAGACCTCTACCATTGATCCTCTACCATTGAACACCAAGACCTCTACCATTAAACCTCTACCATTGAACACCAAGACCTCTACCATTGAACCACACCGAGACACGATCTCACAAGAAATTATAAAGATCAAAGTAGAAATATATTTCTTACAACAGTTATTAGATCATTTTAGACTCTACACCTCGTTCGTTCCTATATGGATCGTGGCCACGTCGAGGAAGAGTGGCGACTTTTATGGACTCGAATCTTTGACCGTCTTGATATTATATTCCTTGTTCTATTTCAAGTTGCAAACATAATTTGTTCAGCAATGTTCATGCGATAATTGTTATCAATAAACTCATCTTTCATCAAAGTTCTTATTGCAAAGACATTTTTTTTGGTGAACATTCAAGCGAGCTCACATTACTTCAGCAAACATCACTGGGAACCAAAGAAACGAAATTTAAGAAAGTGAAGAAAAGGACTTTTAAAAGTCTTTTAAAAAAACATCAAAATGATTCCACAAGAGCAACAGATTTTGAATTATATGATGAATCCACTATATTACGATCCATTGGTGCCATCGATTGAATGGGGAAAAGCACTACGGATCAATATTACACTCAACGCGTTGAGGCTTGTTTCACTGGTGAGTTTTTGAAGATGTTTTAAGCTAGGAAGCTTTTGTTCTTATTCTTATTCGTTTTCTAAATGGTCGATCATTTGGGAAACTGCCGTAACCTTTCCTCAAGATTTTCTCTATTCTACGTAGTTTTGCGCGCATTCGACTCACAGTTTCTTATCAAATGAATCAGAATTAGTCGGGATTACGGTAGTTTTCCAAATTAGTCAGAATTAGTCAGAATCAAATCTAAAGAGGATTACGGTAGCTTTCCAAATTGCCCACCTTTTAAAAAAGCTCCAATAACTAAATAAAACTGATATTTTATCTTTTTTCAGGATCAACAAGAAGAAACAATCGTTTTTCAAGATGAATTCATTGCGGTTTGTGCTTTTTGAAGTGATTAGATTGGTTTTGAAACTTCTAACTTGCTAAAAACTATTACTGAATCTTGAAATCCTAACTGGGCTTTGAATTTAGATGTGGTTCGATCCAAATCTCGGGTGGGATAAGAAAGATTTCCCCGATTACCTGGCTGATTTTGTGAATGTCCCGTATAAACAAGTCTGGATACCGGATCTTATTTATTACAATACGTAAATAAACTTAAAATTTTATTTAGTTTCTAAAGTTATTTAGAATTGATCAAGAAAAAGTGTTGCTTGATGAGTGGACATTTGTCAATGTGAGATATGATGGATGGGTGAGAGCCTCAATGACGGCTACTGTGGGTTTACTGTTTGATAACTTTTCTAGATCAATCCTTAAAATCATACTATTTCTTAGGAAATTAGAAATAGAGTACAAGTTACAAGAATTAATCAGCTATCAAATCAAATCCTTAGCCTGCCTCTTGGGTTTTAAAGCTTAGCTTGCTTAGCTGAATTGCATCAGCAATTCTCTCCGACAAGAACGTCCTTTGATTCCCCGACATGTGCATGAGGATATTTTGCCATTCCAATGCCCATCATACACCCTCCAGCCATTGCCAAAAGTCTTCAACCGGCGCCAGTTGTTAGTCATCCACCCATTGTTTGTCAACCGCAACCGATCCGATTCCTCTAGATGATCCGATTCCTCTAGATGATCCGATTCCTCTAGATGATCCGATTCCTCTAGATGATCCGATTCCTCTAGATGATCCGATTCCTCTAGATGATCCGACTCCTCAAGATGATCCGATTCCTCCAGATGATTCGATTCCTCTAGATGATCCGATTCCTCAAGATCATCCGATTCCTCCAGATGATCCGATTCCTCCAGATGATCCGATCCCTCTAGATGATCCGATTCCTCCAGATGATCCGATTCCTCCAGATGATCCGATTCCTCCAGATGATCCGATCCCTCTAGATGATCCGATTCCTCCAGATGATCCGATTCCTCCAGATGATCCGATTCCTCTAGATGATCCGATTCCTCAAGATCATCCGATTCCTCCAGATGATCCGATCCCTCTAGATGATCCGATTCCTCCAGATGATCCGATTCCTCCAGATGATCCGATTCCTCTAGATGATCCGATTCCTCAAGATCATCCGATTCCTCCAGATGATCCGATTCCAATTAGCTTGCTTAACTTTTTTTTGAAGTAGTTATAAAAAAACTGAGCTACGTTTTGCTACTTTTTGATAAGGTTAAGTAAAATTTCTTGAATTTGCACAAAATTCCATAAAACAATGCTGATTTTGAGCATTTACGAAACAAGAAAACGTTTTAGCGAACGCTTCCATGTGAACTCCATCTAGCAGATTTCCCATATGATCGACAAGTGAGTTATCATAATACAGTCGCGCTCAAAATGATTTATTATATATTTTTCCCTTTGTCAGATGTCGACTTACACTCAGAAAACAAAGTTTTACCTTGATCATTTTCTAATATTATAAGCCTAAAAGCTTTTATCTATTGGTTACCATAAATTTTTGAGTCTCCTGAGTTCGGTGGAAGTTCATCTTTTTAACTATGCATTTTTGAGCAAATCTGATCACAAATTCGGATTCTCCATGTATTTTTTAGCCTAAAAAAGTGTTTTTCAAAAAGATTATGGCTCGGTGCGCGCGTGCACAGCTTCTCAAAAAAGTTCAAAAAAAAGTTTTAAAAGTAATAGTTTTTTAATAAGTTTTAAGTTCCAAAATCAATCTAATCATTTCAAAAATGGTCAAAAATGGAGCTCTCAGGCTTATCTAGAAGCTAATCTAGGTACAACTTTGTTTTTGAGTATGATATCTCACATATCTCACAAAGAGAAAAGAAAAGAGGCGTGCTTTATCCTCTGTCTAGGGGCTGGAGGCTCAGCTTCTTGGAGGCTCAGCTGGCTTCTTGGAGGCTCAGCTGGCTTCTTGGAGGCTCAGCTGGCTTCTTGGAGGCTCAGCTGGCTTCTTGGAGGCTCAGCTGGCTTCTTGGAGGCTCAGCTGGCTTCTTGGAGGCTCAGCTGGCTTCTTGGAGGCTCAGCTGGCTTCTTGGAGGCTCAGCTGGCTTCTTGGAGGCTCAGCTGGCTTCTTGGAGGCTCAGCTGGCTTCTTGGAGGCTCAGCTGGCTTCTTGGAGGCTCAGCTGGCTTCTTGGAGGCTCAGCTGGCTTCTTGGAGGCTCAGCTGGCTTCTTGGAGGCTCAGCTGGCTTCTTGGAGGCTCAGCTGGCTTCTTGGAGGCTCAGCTGGCTTCTTGGAGGCTCAGCTGGCAAGCTTTCGCCAGGCAAACGATTTTGATTTTAAAAATTTCGGATTTTTCGTAGCTGAAAGCCAATTTTGATCATCTTTTGCCATTTCTAGAAGTCCCATATAGCTTCTTACTGTTTATAGACACTTTAGAACACTTAAAAATTCGATTTAGTAGACTAAATGCATTTAGGTTCTGACATTTGCACATTCATTCTCACATCTCTACATCATTTACCATCAAATACCATCGTCTAAATCATTTTGAGCGCTACTGTACTTCAGTTTTATCACAGTTTTACCATGAAAAAGTGTAATTCAATAGAAAATATTACAATATAATTTAAGAAATGCGTCTTGATGTTGGGCTCTTGGACTTACGATGACAATTTAATCCAACTCGACCCAACTGCCACTGAATTTGAGGCGGATTTAGGTGTACTAGCTGGAGAGGTGATTCAAAAGTTAGTATAATAAAATGAAGACTTTTAGAATTCTGGTGTAATCTCTTATTTCGGGAATTCCGAATGGCAACTAATCAAAATCGATGCATATGAGAAACGGGAGGTGAGTTAATGTTAAGCTATCCAGAAAGTCTTTTCACTCCTTTTCCTACTCGTTTTCGTTTCAAAAAATAAACAAATTCCCTTACCGTAAATACTGTACCCCCACCCCCATAATGACGGTGCGGAGCGCTGCGTAGTCTAGCTTTGAACGAGTTTTTCTCGACACTGGTTTATGCTACAATGCGCGTTTAGGTATCAAAAAATAGCTGAAATTCAGGGCTATTTTTTGATACCAAAGACGCATTTTTTGAAAGTACGGGCGCTTTGAAAAAAATGAAATACTAAAAAACTTTTGCGACTACGCGACTGTACGAGGGGGGTGGGGTACTATTACAGTATTTACGGTATATTTTGCTCTAAATAAACGTTTATTGTTCAATTTCCCATCTTTTTAAGTCAATTTTGGTTCACTTTCAAGCAGTGAAAGCCTGTTTTTCATAAAAATCTATAAAAACCCTATGAAGAAATTGGCTAAATGAATTTTTCTGAAAATTTAGCTATATACCAAACTTTTTATGCTCTATCTTTTATCTATTGACACAAAGATAGGTTTCCTTCGCTAAAGTGTCTAAACCGCATCATCGAGCCCTTTTTGACTTTCTGACTTCACGCTCCTAAAAAATGCGGAAATAAGACATTTTAAACCCATTTTAATGTTATTTTTTTTTAAAAAAAATACCGACTGGGGCTACCAGTGGTGAATTTATCGCATACACGAAATATATCAATCACAATACAACGACACACACAATACTAGGCTATATCTTAACTTAACCCACGTCATGACAGACGGCTCCCTAACCCTAAGCTTAATGGGGAACTAAATAGCTTTTTTGGTGGTGAAGGGAAGATGACGATGAAGGAGTGGCTTGTCACTTTAAAGAACTGGGGCCACAACCACCAGACTGCCCTCCAGAAAACCTCTCAACCCGAAGGGAAAGGAAATCCGAAGGGGGTGACCATGTCGCATGTGGGGTTCGAACCCTCGACCTTCCGATTAAGATAAAAGACACTTAACCAGTCAGCCACACGTGCTATTTTGTAGAAAAATAATTGGTTTTTTTTATGAAACAACCCGTAGTTCAATTAGTGTATTTGTTGGTTTTAAACGAAAGTATGAAATGGAACGAAAAGAATTTCTGAACAGCTTAATATTATTTTGATAGAGGCCAAGTGAACTTCATTGGTGAAGTCAGGGATTTGATTTGATAGCTGATTAATTCTTGTAGCTTGTACTCGATTTTTAATTTAGTATGAAAAGTAAGTAAATATGAAAGAAATATTATGATTTTAAGAAGCTAAGAGGATTGATCTGTTAAAGGCTCGTCGAAGAAAAGTCTTGTCCACGTCCACGTCCAAGAAAAGTCTTGTCCACGTCCACGTCGAAGAAAAGTCTTGTCCACGTCCACGTCCAAGAAAAGTCTTGTCCACGTCCACGTCCAAGAAAAGTCTTGTCCACGTCCACGTCCAAGAAAAGTCTTGTCCACGTCCACGTCCAAGAAAAGTCTTGTCCACGTCCACGTCCAAGAAAAGTCTTGTCCACGTCCACGTCCAAGAAAAGTCTTGTCCACGTCCACGTCCAAGAAAAGTCTTGTCCACGTCCACGTCCAAGAAAAGTCTTGTCCACGTCCACGTCCAAGAAAAGTCTTGTCCACGTCCACGTCCAAGAAAAGTCTTGTCCACGTCCACGTCCAAGAAAAGTCTTGTCCACGTCCACGTCCAAGAAAAGTCTTGTCCACGTCCACGTCCAAGAAAAGTCTTGTCCACGTCCACGTCCAAGAAAAGTCTTTTCCAGGTCCACGTCCAAGAAAAGTCTTGTCCACGTCCACGTCCAAGAAAAGTCTTGTCCACGTCCACGTCCAAGAAAAGTCTTTTCCAGGTCCACGTCCAAGAAAAGCTTCAAATTTAGTAAAAATCATGCTGGCTCAATCAGACCTAATTCTAAAGTCTATGATTGCAAAAGTTTTAATAATGAAACCAACCTTTTCATCGCACCAGTAGAATCCGAGAATTCGAGAAAAGAATGAGATGTTTTTTCTTCGATTTACTCCCCAATTTTTCTTCTTAAAGCACATCACCTCACCCTCTTTCAACTTTCGAATGTCCATTTCTGAAAAAAATATTCACTGGTTCACTGGTTCAGTCCACCTTTTGGTCTAAATGTTAGAATTTTGAGCTTCATTTTCATTTTCGATTCTGAAAAGCTTTGGAAAACTATTGGAAGCCAACATTATGATTGATTATGGTAGTTTTAGGTGCTTTTTAGAACAAATTAGCCTCGTTAAAACGACCCGAATCTCATTCTTAGATTTACAATCAACCAGCCGGTGACTGGAACTATTCCCTCATCTATTTCAACCTTCACCTTGAGCGCAAACCCGTTTATTATGTGATGATCATTCAGGTTTAAAAGTCACTTCAAGATTTCAAACAAATCACAATTCCAGATCCCAACGCTGATCGTCGGTGTGTTGACGATTCTCGGCATGTTCACCCCATTCAGTCAACGAATGGAAAGATGGCAACGAGTCGGTGATCCATTTTAAAGTTTTCCTTAAATTCTCAAAGTGCAGAACTCGGATTGAACATGTTATTGGCGATCTCAATGCTCTTGAATTTGCTCTCGTCAATGATGCCGAAAGTTGAACGATTGCCATTGTTGGGTGAGGTGAAAGAATTAGTTCGTAATGGTTCAGAGGCTCGATTTATCAATAGACCTAAGTCGGATTAATGGTACTAAACTGTATCAATAGTACTAGATTAAATTCTCAAAAGGCAGAACTCGGATTGAACATGTTATTGGCGATCTCAATGCCTGAATTCAAGGACTGAGTCCATGAAAATCTTGAACCAAATCTGGTATCTGGATGCCAACGAATGCCAACGAATTGAGTTCAATATTTACCCGGATTCATTATTTTAAGTGAAACTCAGCACTTAGATGTGCAATCATCTCACGCTTTAAGAGAAAATTTGGGGGTGGGACAAATGCGACCTTTTTTTTGCGCACCCGGACATTTGCGCACCTTTTTTTCGCACCTTGCCCATTAGCGCACCTTTTTTCGCGTTTTAAAAAAGCTCTAAAAAGCTAATATTAACCAATTTCTATTCCAAAAGTTGTTTTTCTAGGTAATTTTAGGGCGTAGAATCGAAATTTTGACATATCAGAGCTTGTGGAAACAAACGGACGGAGTTATACAAAGAGAAAAATCGACAACTTTCTGTAATTTGATCTAGCCGTTTTGTCTTTCAAATTGGTTCCACATGCTCTGTTATGTCAAAATTTCGATTCTACGCCCTAAAATTACCTAGAAAAACAACTTTTGGAATAGAAATTGGTTAATATTAGCTTTTTAGAGCTTTTTAAAACGCGAAAAAAGGTGCCTAATGGGCAAGGTGCGGAAAAAAAGGTGCGCAAATGTCCGGGTGCGCAAAAAAAAGGTCGCATTTGTCCCACTCCCGAAAATTTAAATATTTTTCTACGACGCATTCTTAGATTTGACGAAAAAAAACTCTTTCTGCCTTTTTTATCGAATCTCAAAGTTGGCAGTGGAGTTGCTTGGCGCGACACTTGTTTTTAAAGGATTTAACAAAAAATTTTGGTATTACGAACGTTTCAGCACTAAATTAAGTTTCTATTTCTTTAAATTTAGTTCCCTATCTCTACAAGCTTGGTTCTTCATCTCTTTAAATTTGGTTTCCTATCTCTTTTTTATTTGGTTCCCTATCTCTTTAAATTTGGTTCCCTATTTCTTTAAATTTGGTTCCCTATCTCTTTTTTATTTGGTTACATTTACCTAAAGATTAAAGACTCACATTTAACAGAAACTGAAAAATGAAAAATTTCATTTTGCAGGCTCATCTTTTGAAAAGCCAACGCTTAGATCCAAGTGAAACCAAGAAATAACAAATTTTTACCTAATTGAGTGTCACTTTACCTTCCGATTTGTTTCATAATGTTTAAAACGTATTGCAAAAACAAAAGCCTTTAAAGATATGCTCAATCTTTGGCGTTTTCTGAAAAGCCGCCAACAGCAAGTGCCGCGCCAAGCAACTCAACCAACCAAACCAACTTTGAGTTTCTATAAAAAAAGATAGAAAAAGTATTTTTCTCAGACCTAAGAATCCATTGTAGAAAAATACTTAAATTTTCTATTAAAACAAAGCATGAGATGATTGCATATCTGAGTGTTGAGTTAAACTTAAAATACCGAGTCCGGGCAATGATTGAAGACTCTGTAGATGTTGATTCATCTATGATTGATTGAATCAATCATTCAGTAAGTAAGGATCTACCAAACCACATTTCTTTGACTAGATCTTGATTTCAAATCATCAATTCCTTCAGGAAACTATATTGTTGCTGAGATTTTCATTTGCTCCATTGGCACAGTCGTTTCAATTACGTTGCTGGAGATTCACGCACGAGCAGATCAAAGAAATTGGAGACCACCAGACTTGTGAGGGTTTGAAAAGAAGCTAAACCCGCCAGCAAAGGAATAATAAATTTTATCAACGCTGAAAGTTCTTTAGATCAAGTTTAGTCCTTTTATTTACTTAAATATGGTCTTGGTATCGCTAACTTTAGTCGCTGCTTCCCTTTTGACGGCAAATTTCATGCCACTTCCCCAGTCCCCCATGGCCGACTGGATAAGAGTCCTTTATCATAGTCGGGAGGTCAAGGGTTCGATTCCACGGCTAGATTATTGGTTCTCTTTTACATAGAATTTTTTTCTTTTTCTTTCCTACATTTAAGGCTTAAGAGTTGTGCTTGTGTATTGTTTTTACCACATTATTTATGTGAATAAATGTAATGGCAAATAGATCTTTAGTTTTTGCCGATTTCTGCGTCTCTCGTGCACTTCAGGGAAGACGAATCCTTCAGCGTTGCCCGATCCTCCACGCTTGATTCCGGCGCTACAAAATAATGAATTCGAAATTGGTTCCATTGAAGCTTTCAAAGCAAGGAAACAATTATATCAAGTAACATAAAATTAAGGGATTCTATTTGAATTAAACCTTTTTCAAGTTCAAAACTCTTTTCCAGAGTTTACACCTCGTTCGATCATTCATTTCTCGACAACACGCTGAAGAGGAATGGAAACTTTTATGGACGAAAATATTTGACCGATTGGATATCATATTTTTGTTTATATTTCAAGTTGGTTTACCATTCGAAAAGCTTTTCAAAAACTTCTTTCAGTCAGGCAATATCATCATAGCCGCCATGTTTATGAGATGACACTTATTGAATGAAATAAATTGTATCTAAATCTTTGAAAACAAACAAGAAACACTGTAACACTTACACTAAACACTTACAACAACTGTAAAAACGTTTAAAGAAGTCAAAAAGTTTACATTTTGTTCAAACGAATGATTAGAATTTAAGTACAATGGTCACAATGGTTTAATGGAATGTAGAATTGATAGCAAGGATACAGCCAAATTCAAGGGAAAAATTTGATCCCAAGAATTTGTACATGGTGATGCCCAGAATGCAGGAAAAACTCAGTCGCTCACCGCTACTTCCCTTTTAAAGATTCAAAAAGGCAAGCACTTTATACGGAAGGGGTTTATCAGATAGAGAGCGATTACAATGAAACGAACGCGCAATGAACACCTCCATGATCATTTACATATGCACTTTTTCATAGGCGTAGGGGGTTTTCGGGGTCGGAGAATCGATTCGCGTTATTCATTTTATTGATTCTACCAATTAGAATACAGGTTTAACTGGTTGAAAGTTATGGACTTGTAGGTTCATCCCTGATTTCACTGGGCAGCTCAGCACCAACCCTTCAACAACTTCTTTCAGTCAGGCAATATCATCATAGCCGCCATGTTTATGAGATGACACTTATTGAATGGAATAAATTTTATCTAAATCTGTGAAAACAAACAAGAAACACTGTAACACTTACACTAAACACTTACAACAACTGTAAAAACGTTTAAAGAAGTCAAAAAGTTTTCATTTTGTTCAAACAAGTGATTAGAATTTGAGGAAATCACACAATCCTAGGAAAAACAAGAGCTCAAGTCAGCTCGCATTGTTCTTAGCTGCCGTTTAAGTGTCACAATAGTTTAATGGAATATAGAATTTTGGGAAAATTAGGCTTTAAAGTTTTAAAGAAGAAATATCAGACTTGCAAATGACATAAAATAAAATATGATTGGATCAAAATCCTAAGAAAAACGGGAGCAAAACGGAAAAGTTTAGTTGCTCAGCGCTACTTCGGTTTTGAAGATTTAAAAAGGGAAGCACTTTATACCGAAGGGGTTTGCCAGATGGGGAGTGATTAAGTGCGGAGACAGAGCGCTCAAATCAGATAGCATTGTTCTGCCAAGTTTAGCTGCTGTTTAAGTGTCACAATGGTTTAATGGAATGTAGAATTGATAGCAAGGATACAGCCAAATTCAAGGGAAAAATTTGATCCCAAAAATTTGTACATGGTGATGCCCAGTAAGCGGAAAAACTCAGTCGCTCACCGCTACTTCCCTTTTAAAGATTCAAAAAGGCAAGCACTTTATACGGAAGGGGTTTGCCAGATAGAGAGCGATTACAATGAAACGAACGCGCAATGAACACCTTCATGATCATAGGCATTTTTTCTTTTGCTTTGTAAATGACACAAAACGAAGATATTCAGCTGTAGATTTTTAATTGAGGTTTTCGGGGTCGGAGAATCGATTGGCGTTATTCATTTTATTGATTCTACCAATTAGAATTCAGATTTAACTGGTTGAAAGTTATGGACTTGTAGGTCCCTGATTTCACGGGGCAGGTCAGCACCAACCCCCTTCGATTTTGACTATTTTAACTATCATTCGATGTAGAATGAAATTGGGCGTCGAATGATACCAAAAATTAACTCAAAATGTAATATCCATGCAAAGTTATTGGCTCAAACCCCATTATGGGCGGGACTTGACCTTTTACCTCATAACTTTGCGTGGATATTATATTTTGAGTTATTTTTTGGTATCATTCGACGCACAATTTCATTCTGCATCGAATGATAGTCAAAATCGAAGGGTTGGTGCTCAGAAAAACACAAGGAACCTTAGGTTGCTAACGACAAAAAAGGACCGACAGATGTTTTCGTTACAAGTCTAGTGAACACCGTATTTTCCCTAAAAGTAGTGCACCCCACCAAGCCGAGTTGATGACTATTTTACGGTTTTCAAGTTTTCCCAGAAGCTCAACACTCTAATCCCCAACAAGATCTCATCGTCAGCTACATTTTCCAACCCCAAATCGATAGGTTCTGATAAGCGGTTCTCGAGATTTCTAGCAATTTAGGCGACGCTCAGCGTGCACTACTATTAGAGAATACGGTATCTAATGAAAAAAACTATATTTCATTTGGTAGCTTAAAACTTAAATATCTTGAAAGGAATTTCTTATACAGGTTGTTCCAAGAGCATTTTTCTGGACCAGACTAGTTTAGGCAAAGTCAGAGTCAGACCAGGCAAAAGCCGATTTTCCTAAACTTGCCTGGACTGGCTTTACTGAAACCCTAAAATACTTACAGGTTCCAGAGTAAAACTGACAAGGTACCACAATCACAATAGCTTTTGCTTACTATTATAGTTTTCAAGTGCCGTATAATAGTCTCTAATAGTAGTGCACCCCGCCAAGCCGAATTGATGCCTATTTTACGGTTCCTAAGTTTTCCCAGAAGCTCAAGACTCAAATCCCCCACAAGATCTCATCGTCAGCTACATTTTCCGACCCCACATCGATAGATTCTGTTAAGAGGTTCTCGAGATTTCTAGCAATTTAGACGAAGCTAAAGGTGCACTATTATTGAGGAATTATTGAGGAAAAATACGGTACTCAAACCTTATTCGACTTGAACCGATTGTGCTCTTTTCCACTTTTGTTAACGTTTTAATAAACTTTAGCGTATTTTATTGAGCTTTGCTTTTGAATCATACCTTTTACTTTAATATAGATGGCTTTAATATAGTTGGTTTGGCTTTATGGATTGCTGACATGTCTAACTACATGTTGTATTTAAAAATAAACTCAAAAACATTTCCTTTTTGATGATCTTTGTTGGCAAAAAGTTTCTATTTTGACCCTGAGAAATTTTGAAATGGCATCATTTCCACGAAAAAAGGAAAAAAGATCGAAACTCATATTTGCAAAGAAATTTCGGCTTCTCAAATTTCGTTTTAACTCATGTTCTGAATTTTTGAATGGAGAAATGAAAAAATTCGCGTTAAGGGTTTCAGTTTTTATTCGCATAAATTGATCACAGAATAGACTGAACTGGACGGACGGTGCGGAACGATTGGCTGAATTAGGTAAATCTATTGGGTTGTCCAGTTATGAATGCGCGTTTTTTACTATTTTGTAAATTTCTCAAGATACCGAAATCAAGAAAAAGATATATATGAGTATTATTCGAAAGCTGAAGATCTCCTCTACATTTTGACATAAAAAGTTTTTGAATTTGTTCAGCTTTTGGGCAAATTGACTGCACAGAAGAAGGGGTAGCCAAAAAAAATGGAAGGGTGCCTTTGGATCAAGTTTTGACTCCGCTCAAATTGAGTTAACCGTTTGATGTTTGGCCAATAGATATATCAATACAACTTGTTTTTAAATATAACAATTTCAGAGCATCTTTACTTTTCTTTTCTTTTCTGGGCGGTTATTTTACACCATAAAACTTGAGGAATAGCTAAGCTGGAGTGGGTTTTTTCGAAAGCGACCTCTCCCTTTGTGCAGTCAATTTCCCAAAAAGTTGCATGAATTCAAAAACTTTTTTATTCCAAAATGTAGAGGAAATCTTCAGCTCTCGAATGATATATGACACTCATATACATCTGTTCGATATCTTGAGAAATTTACAAAATAGTAAAAACGCGCATTCATAACTGGAAAACCCAATAAAATGTGTCGAAAGCTACCGTAATCTTAGCTTCAGCTTTAGTCAATCTATTCATTTAAGCTAATCATTTTATGCCCTATTATTTATAGCTAAGATTACGGTAGCCAAAATTACTGTAGCACGTTTTAGAAAGTGCATTTTTTAAGAGGAAAATGTTAAGAGAAAAGATTTTCTTTCATTTTCACTACTTGTCCGCTTCAGAGTCAAAACTTTGATGATTCCCCTGGAGCAAGTGCTCATTCAAGAAATGCTCAGTCCGATAAAGTACAATAACGGACAATTTCCAATGCCTTCTGGTGTGGCTCTATTAGTGAATATCACGTTGAATTCTTTTCGATTACTTTCAATGGTAAGGTTTAGATTTTTACAAATAGCACATAAATTTTAGGATCAAAAAGAGGAAACGATTCAATTCCAGAATGAGTTTTTGATGGTCAGTTGGCTCTTTCTTAAAGATTTGGCACAAATTACTAGGGAAAAGCACGAACTCAAGATGAGCTTTTGTACTATTTTGCACTATTTTGCTAGCCGCCATAATGCAAATAGCTGCAAGATGCTAGAAGTTGCTCCAAAAAAAAAATAAAAACAGAAGATAGCATCAGGGGTCGAATTATTCCTGGGAGGCGGATCCTATAGGCGGAAATCTAGTGCGTTATCCACTAGGCCACCAACGTAGCTTTTGCCCGCCAGGCAAGAGCCTTTAAAGCATCCATTTTGATGCCAATTCGATTGAACTTCCACTTGGAAAGTCATTTAGCAGATTTTGATTTCTGATTCGGATTTCTCATACGCGATTCTATAAAGTTCAGACAAAAGCTCACCTTTTTTCCAGATTAAAGACAAAAGTGCGTGTTTTTCCCTTGTTAGATTCAAATTCGATTCTAAATTCTAAATTCCTAGCCTTTAGATGTGGATGGATCCGAATCTGGGCTGGGATGCCGACAACTTTTCTATGTATTCATCTGAATATGCGAAAGTGATGATATCGGATGTTTGGAGACCAGATTTAATATTTTACAATACGTGAGTTTTTAAGGCTTACGTAGTACTAATCGTAAATACTGTAATAGTACCCCACCCCCCATAATGACGGTGCGGAGCGCTGCGTAGTCTAGCTTTGAACGAGTTTTTCTCGACACTGGTTTATGCTACAATGCGCGCTTAGATATCAAAAAATAGTCCTGAATTTCAGCTATTTTTTGACACCTAAGCGAGCATTGTAGCCTTGCTTAACAGCTTTTGCTGAACTGAAATGTTTGTCTACCGCGATTCGAGCTTTGTTTCAGAGAAAGTAAATTAATTTGCATTGGCTTTCATTGTCATAATATCATTTATTTCAGCACTTTTTATTCAATCATCATTCGATCATGGATTTAATAGAATGTTTTAATTAGAAAAATGTTCCATATCTGAATACTAAGACGTGTACTAACATCAAATAGAAAAAAGAAAAGCTTCAATTTCCCAAATCAATTTAGCCAATCCAAACAAGTATAAACGTAGCTTTTCTGGCTTTTTTTAGCACTACCTTTCTTCTATGAAGTTTTTCTTTTATTTCTTTTGATTATGAATACCTACCGTAAATACTGTAATAGTACCACACCCCCTTAATGACGGTGCGGAGTGTTGTGTAGTCTAGCTTTGAACGAGTTTTTCTCGACACTGGTTTATGCTACAATGCGCGCTTAGATATCAAAAAATAGTCCTGAATTTCAGCTATTTTTTGATACCAAAGACGCATTTTTTGAAAGTACGGGTGCTTTGAAAAAAGTGAAAAAAGGTGCGGAGTGTTGCGTAGTCTAGCTTTGAACGAGTTTTTCTCGACACTGGCTTATGCTATAATAGCAATACAATTATCAAAAAATAGCCCTGAATTTCAGCTATTTTTTGATACCAAAGACGCATTTTTTGAAAGTACGGGTGCTTTGAAAAAAATGAAATACTAAAAAACTTTTGCGACTACGCGACTGTACGAGGGGGTACTATTACAGTATTTACGGTAAGTAATCTTTATCATTACAATATCTCTCAACCAACTTGATTGAAACGTTTTTTTCAAATGACAAACGTAAAAATGTAAACTCGGCAACTGTGGCGGGTCAAGTGACAATTTTAAAGTATATTTTAGGAATTTATGAAAGATTCTTCATTTTATAGGCTAAAAGAACTAAAATTGGTTGAAAATGCAGTGTATCTGTGAATGTAAATGTCAATAAATCAATCCAATTACAGCATTGATAGCTATCAACTAGTGCCAAGCGAAATTGCTACTTGTGATATACGTCAAGATGGCTACATTCGAATATCAATCCCAACTACGGTAAAAAAAAAAATTCGTTTCCTCTAAGCCGTTTTCTTTCAGATCTCGGTACCTTGCAATCTCGATTTTGATCGTTTTCCTTATGATCATCAAGTATGCGAAGTTTTCTTGAGTTCTTGGGTCTTCAATCAATCATACATCGTATTGACACCGACAGACGATGTTTATGGAGGAGATCTACCGAATAAAAGTGGAGCGGTGAGATGATATGCTGAAGAAACAGTTGAACTGTTCCTTCAGCATATAGTTCAACTATTTCTTCAGCATATTGAAGGGAAATAGTTCAACAAACAGTTGAACTATTTCCCTTCAATATCTAATACTTGTTGCTAGGATTCTTGATTTGAAAAGTTTTTCGAAAGTTTGAAAAAATTTCACTTTTGGAGTCTAACTTTTGGTTAATGGTGAACCTTGATACTACCAGGTTGACCGGGGTATGCAAAGCTACCGTAAATACTGTAATAGTACCCCACCCCCCTCGTACAGTCGCGTAGTCGCAAAAGTTTTTAGCATTTAATTTTTTTCAAAGCACCCATACTTTCAAAAGATGCGTCTTTGGTATCAAAAAATAGCTGAAATTCAGCGCTATTTTTTGATACCTAAGCGCGCATTGTAGCATTAACCAGTGTCGAGAAAAACTCGTTCAAAGCTAGACTATGCAACACTCCGCACCGTCATTATGGGGGTGGGGTACTATTACAGTATTTACGCGTTTAGCACTCATGAATTTGCTTGAAAGTGAACTAAAATTGACTTAAAAAGATGAAAATTGAACAAGAAACACTTTTAATTTAAATTTACACTTAATTTAAAGTAAATTATAGGTTAATTGATGAATTTTTTCATTTTTTAAAAGGAAAAGAAAAGGAACAAAAAGACTTTCTGGACAGAATAATAATCTAAAATCGAAGGAAACCTATCTTTGTGTCAAAAGATAAAAGATAGAGCGTAAAAAGTTAGGTATATAGGTAAATTTTCATAACATTTCACCAAACCGTTTTCATTATATGTCCATTCTCAGGATTTTAGAAAAAACAAGAACAAAAACAAGAATTCGCGTTCGGATTTGCTTCAAAGCGGACTCAAATTTGCCTAAAAATGAACTAAATGAAATAGTTAATCTTTTTTATTAAAGCAAATCACACGTTGATCGGCTAATTATTCATTTATAAATGAAAATTTCAAAAAGGCGGAATTTCTGGCCAAATCAATATAAAAGATTTTTTTATCTTATCATTAGTAATTCTAGGATGAAACAATCATACCAATACCTACCGAGAGCAAAATTTTTCGATTAGAACGCTTCAGCTTATATTTTCTTTTCTTTTCAGCTCCTCGACCCCATTTCTTACGCCGGGAACGCGGAATGGAGGCTGGAAAAAATTTTGGCTCAACAAGTCGAAACGGTAAGTTTTGATTGTTCATACTTTATGCTTAATCTTGTAAATGTCTTAGCCGATTATGAATGAAATTTTTTGGCAAATCTTTCTAGTAGAGCAACCCTTTAATGTATGAGGACAATGTTATATCATTTTGTAGCGAATTGAGTTCTGCGTCGATTGGTACCAAATTTGTGAGTTTAGGTTAAAAATTGCCGGCGCTACAACGTTTCATTCAAAATCGGCTGGACCCCCGTAGCCAATTATGAATGAGTGGGTCTAGGAGCGTCCAACCATCAAGTATTTAGTATCATTCAACGCAGAATCATTAATAATTATGTTAAATTTTTTAAATTAGCAAGATTTGATGAAAAGAAAAAAAAAATTAGAGCAAAAAAACTGTTTGTTCAAGAGGAAACTTTGAAGCCCCATAATTTTTTTCTTTTTATCAAATCTTTCTAATTTTAAAAATTTAACATAATTATCAATGATTCTGCGTTGAATGATACTAAATACTTGATGGTTGGACGCTCCTAGACCCACTCATTCATAATCAGCTGAAATTCATAATCAGCTGAAATTCATAATCAGCTGAAATTCATAATCAGCTGAAATTCATAATCAGCTGAAATTCATAATCAGCTGAAATTCATAATCGGCTACGACATAAATAAATTAAGTCTAAAACACAGCTCATTTTGAGCTCATTTTACAGCATCAAATTGATCCACTGATACAGTTTTCAATAATTACTATAAAGCTGTAATAGTAGCCCTGGGAGGCATTATTTTTTCGCTGACCCTCTGGAGCAAGGGTTACTATTTTTTCGATAATAATTTTTGCCATTCACATGACCAAATTGAAAAATATAACATACCGTAAATGCTTTATTAGAATGATATGTCATTCTTTTTTTTCAATCCTTAAACTCGATGGATCCAAAAAGTAGGTAAGGGAAGATCACGTGAATCAAAAATTTAGAATTCGTTAAAAACTATTAGGGTGGTGCAAAAGAAGCTGCCGATTTGACGGTAAATTCAAAAAAAAGATGGCGCTCGATGGTGACATGATCACAATGGAATATTTTCACAAGATCTCGAGCAGATTGGCATGAATCGGCCTGAATAACGTCCCTCAGCTTGGCTTCGTTCACGACTTCTGGCCTCGAATCGTGCTCGTAATCTTCCAAAGCCTCGTCTCCCTCTCGGAATCGTTGAAACCAAGTCTGACACTGCCTGAGAGACAAACTGCCACCTCCAAAAGCAGCACAGAGAGAACGATGCGATTCGGCAGCAGACTTTCCAATTTTGAAGTTAAACAGTAATGCTGCACAAACTTTTCCTCGACCATGATCTAAATAAAAAATATAAGCATTTTTCAATAAAATAAACAACAACCAAAAAATTCAAATGTCGAAATAAATAGCAAACAAATATGCGAACAAAACATAAAAAAATAATGCCGTTAGCATCGCTCGTTTCTGATAAATGAGAGCTGATACCCATCGGCAGTTTCTTTTGCACCACCCTAATATTTTAAACAATGGCCATTTCTCCAAAACGTACAAAAAAGCACGTTTAAAGGGAAACTATTTTAACTAAAGCTGATTGAGTTTTCCCTCGTCAATTCGCTTTGGTGAGAAGCAAATCCCAAATAATCCAAGAACGATCAGTTTTTCGATTCCAACACCACAGGTTTTGAAGGATCGACGAATGATTTCTTCTGAAATTGAATCCCAAGCATCAGCAACCATCAGAAGATTTGCTGAAGTAAGCAAATCCAGAAGCTCGTCGACTTCTTTTTCGACATGTGCATCCCTGAGTAACTGTAGTCCTGTAGGAAGCGCGCCATCGTACTTAAAACAGTAAATCAGCTGGTTGTCGGCACCATTTGGATCGATTCCAACACAGCTTTTGAATGATCGACGAATGATTTCTTCAGAAATTGAATCCCAAGCATCAGCAACCCATTTTAAGTAGATTCCCATTTCAGGGGCCTTTGGGTTCCCACCTTTTATGCGTTCAGGTGCTTGCAACAAAATCCAATCCTCGTAAATATTCAGCTAAGAGCAGATGCAAATTTTGGGGCTATTATTAGCGGCGAGGCTACTATTACAGCTTTTACGGTATTCAAGAAATGTTTAGCTCTTCGTCGGAGACTTGAAACAAGCCTGGACCGGGAATTTCTCTCAAATTCGATACAGTATCTACCTACAACGTGAACCAGTTTACTATATAATGGTTATACAAGTAAGATATTTTTATCCTTTCAGTCTAAAAACTTTTAGATTCCAACATTTATCATCGGCACAATCACGATCTTTGGCCTATTCTCATCATATTCTCAAAGAATGGAACGATGGCATATTGTAAAAGAATTACAGATCTGAATCTGAATCAGATTTTTCAGCTAGACATTGGACAAAACATGTTATTGGCGATCTCCTACATGCTTAATTTGATTTCGGACATGATGCCGAAAACAGCACAGCTGCCGCTTTTAGGTTAGATCTTTTGCCTTTTACTTCTAAACATAAAGTTTTAGGAAATTACATCATTGCTGAGATTTTTGTGTGCGCAATTGGGATGCTTATCTCGATTGTGATATTGGAGTTTCACGCAAGGGCTGATCAAAGGAATTGGAGACCGCCAGATTGGTAAGAATTATGTTCATGTCTTGCTGTCTTCTAAAAGGTGCATTTAGAGTAAAGCTACAGTATTCTGGTTTATGGTTGTTTCCATGAAAACTTTAGACAGGTTACAAATAGTGTACGAAAAGCCGGAAGCCAGATCCAAGGCCAACAATTGGCCAACAACAATTCAAAGAGGGCCCGAAGAGACATCTTTTGCCATTTAGCCCTATTTAGCTTCTTAGTGTTTATAAAAACTCAAAAACAACTTAAAATTGGTTTAACAAAAAAGCAAAAGGTTTTAACAACGAGAACAAACTAGGGACAATGGGGGGTAAGGGGAGAGCTTAGGGCGAGCACACTATCTGCTACACTGCCAGGCAATCTTTTTCAAGGGAAAAAATTCTAGCCCATATCGCGGCAGTGCCATTTTTCCAAAGAGTGCTCAAATTTTAAAAGCATTCTTCTGGATGCTATGGAGTAAAACTGAAAAACAGTACCGTAATACCTGTAATGGTAGCGCCTTGCCAGTACAGTCGCGTAGTCTAACACACAATTTTGTGCCGCTCACTTCTCCGCTCTGCTTCGACAAAAAATGTGCGCTTAGATATCAAAAGATAGCGCTTGAAGCGAAGAATTCTTGGGTACTAACAGTTTATTTTAGAAATTCTAGGCGCGTTCAAAAAAATCATTTACTTTAGCGACTAGTTCTAAAATAGCATACGGTAGTCCTTTTAGGCGGCAAGCGTACCTTTTAGAATTTGTAAGTAACATTTTCCAAACTAATGCTTATTTTTAGGCTTTGCAAAATCGTGCTCTTCTCTTGTCGTCGAATGAAAGTCAAGGCATTAGCACAGCCGGATCCAGTTCGAAAACGAACAATCCCAATTACAAAAATTGATGATGAAGTGGCTGACATGTTGAAGTTAGATCTAGTAAAAGGGCAATTAAAAAAGGTATTGAAGTTTTTAAACAAAGAAAACGCTCAATTTTCAAGAGTCTTCACCTTGTTCGAGATTTCATGGAAAGAGACGATGCTGAGCATGAATGGAAATTGTTATGGGTGATGATTTTTGATCGAATCGATTTCTTTTTTCTCTTTTTATTTCAGGTAAAGAGATTCATTGAATATTCAATTCAGGATACGGGGGTGGGACAAATGCGACCTTTTTTTTGCGCACCTGGACATTTGCGCACCTTTTTTTGGAAAAGGCCTTAGGCAAGGCCGTAGAGCTTCAAAAATGTTTTCATACAAAGGGAATCGTATGCGTAGATTCCGAATTTCGACAAATCAGACCTCGCTGACACGTCAAATTTGGGCTAAAAGGCAAAAACTACGCAACTTAACGCTTTTCCGCAGTTTTTGCCTTTTAGCCCAAATTTGACGTGTCAGCGAGGTCTGATTTGTCGAAATTCGGAATCTACGCATACGATTCCCTTGTATGAAAACATTTTTGAAGCTCTACGGCCTTGCCTAAGGCCTTTTCCAGCAAAAAAGGTCGCACTTGTCCCACCCCCCAGGATACTTTTAAAATAATTAGTTTCAGATTGTAAATATTGTGGTCTCCGCGTTGTTCATGAGATAAAAAGTTTATGTAAATAAAGATGCTCAAAAGTTTTTGGTCTTTTCAATCACATTTTGGTAACACTTGAAGTAATTGCTGAATTGATATCATTTCTTGTTTTTCTTTGAAAAACTCACAAGTTTCCTGTAATCGCTCTCCTTTTGAAGGCTTTCGCAAGAGTAAAGCTAAAGGAGCAAAACACAGAATACCAATTGCGAAAGCCCAGGTTGTCCTTAAAAGATTCCATTTAAGAATAAGTTTTGTTAGGGTTTTGTTAGATATAATTCTATTATATACTAGTACTAATTCTAAATCTTATTTCTATCTAATTATTCAAGGGCTTACCATTGAAAACCGATTGTTTGCACTAAAGGACCCGAAGCAAACGGTGCGATAAAGAACGCAATACTCAATCCGGCATCACTGATTGCATAGGCGTTTGCTGAATGAATTCAATTATTATTATGAATTCATTCAGCGTATTAAAGTGTAATTTTAGCTTGAATTTAACCTGTAAAAGCCATTGAAAGATCATCCTTCAGTTTCTCATTTGAAAGCAATTGAGATTTTTCCGTAAATACAGTTTTTCGGGACTCACCTGAAAAGATTTCATCGTCACTTGAAGATTCGTCGAATATTGCGCCAGCTGTAAGATTTTTTTCGTAGATAATTGTAAGCGTTAAGTCTACACTTATCCATGTGTTCAAACCTAAAAGTTAACTCACTTTCATCTTTATGCTTTATGTAGGCCATATGGGTTATTAACGGGATCATTGCTGAGTCGATAAAGGCTACAAAATATCCATTTATATTAACTTTTCGGAACTTACAAATGCAAATCCCGATTACTGTAATTGGGATGAAAAGCCAGAAGATCGCTGGTGCAAAAGAGACAAAAGAGAGACAAATGGCAATGATTGGGAGAGCGAAAAGAACGCAACGCCATCTGAAATTGGATAATAGAGGTTTTTGATTTAGCAAGTACCTTCCAAGCTTGATTGAGATGCTCGGGACAAATGTTGTGCCAATGAGATAGGCCAATGAGGAGGGAAAGAAGACAACACCTGAATGAATACGTAACAGGTTTGAGGGGAACTTTTAAACGAATACTCATCCTTTAAAGGTCCACAAATTTGTTTAGAGATAATACTAATGCTAACTTGTGATATACAGTTGAACGTTCGATGACGAACGTCAAGAAACCAGCCAAAAAGTTCGTTATTGAAGGTAATTTTTAGGGAGTGGAACAAATGCTACCTGTTTTTGCGCACCCGGACATTTGCGCACCTTTTTTTCCGCACCTTGCCCATTAGCGCACCTTTTTTCGCGTTTTAAAAAAGCTCTAAAAAGCTAATATTAACCAATTTCTATTCCAAAAGTTGTTTTTCTAGGTAATTTTAGGGCGTAGAATCGAAATTTTGACATATCAGAGCTTGTGGAAACAAACGGACAGAGTTATACAACGAGAAAAATCGACAATTTTCTGTAATTTGATCTAGCCGTTTTGTCTTTCAAATTGGTTCCACACGCTCTGTTATGGGGAGTGGAACAAACGCTACCTTTTTTTTTGCGCACCCGGACATTTGCGCAACTTTTTTTCGCGTTTTAAAAAAGCTCTAAAAAGCTAATATTAACCAATTTCTATTCCAAAAGTTGTTTTTCTAGGTAATTTTAGGGCGTAGAATCGAAATTTTGACATAACAGAGCGTGTGGAACCAATTTGAAAGACAAAACGGCTAGATCAAGTTACAGAAAATTGTCGATCTTTCTCTTTGTATAACTCCGTCCGTTCGCTTCCACAAGCTCTGATATGTCAAAATTTCGATTCTACGCCCTAAAATTACCTAGAAAAACAACTTTTGGAATAGAAATTGGTTAATATTAGCTTTTTAGAGCTTTTTTAAAAAGCTAAAAAAAGGTGCGCTAATGGGCAAGGTGCGGAAAAAAAGGTGCGCAAATGTCCGGGTACGCAAAAAAAGGCCGCATTTGTCCCACTTCCCATTTTTAAGGTAAAACCCTTCGTTGGGATCAAAAAATAGTGTTCTTTATATCGAACGTTTCGTTCTATCGAAGTTTTTTATATCAAAGCTCGTTTAATTAAAGTTCGTGATATCTTAGGTCGACTGTAGCTTTCAAGAAGATTTGCAAATGACATAAAAAAGAATTTCATTCGATCAATCCTAAGAAAAACGGGAGACAGAACAAAAGTTGAGAAAACAATTGTTAAGAGAGGTAAAAGGAAGCACTTTATACCGGAAGGGTATGCTAGGTCGTGAGTGATTGCCGCGCAAAGAACACGGCACGAGATTACACAGAGATTTTCTTTTGCATTGTAAATGGTATAAAAAGAAGATATTCAGCTGTAAATTTGTGCTCGGGGGTTTTCGGGGCCGGAGAATCGATTGGCGCTATTCATTTTATTCACTGCAATAACCAGGTTGAGTAAATGAACCAGTTAGATGAGTAATACTCTGTACTTTCTCTCTAATTCACTCAAATTTCTCAATTTTGTCAATTTAAAGCAATCCTAACATTTTTGATTACAGTCGACTCTTGATACAACGATTTTGAAACGCTAAAACAGGCTCTTGGTTTCTGCGTAGCTGTCCAGCCAAGCGCAATCGTTGGCCTTTCAGGGCAGCTACGCAAGAGATTTGGGCCACGTTTTAGAATCGTTATATAGAAATTTTTGGTCCCTTCGATATCGTTATAGAGAAGTTCGACTGTACATGGTTAATTTAAAGATATTCAGCCAATAAATCAATTAGAAAGGAGAGGCTCACCGTGGAAAAAAACGCTAAAACGGCAAAAATTATTTGACAAAACGTTAAATCGAAACTTTTATCGTAAATCGTTAAATCAAGAGTCGTCTGTATCTACATTTCTTTATTCTTTTATTTATTCTCTATGCAATTTATTTATTTATTCTCTTTACCAAGTTCAAAAGCCGACGAATTCCACTTGTCAACCATCCACAGTTGAAGCCCCGGACTCAGCACTCCCAGTCCCAAATTGCCCACAAAAATTGAGCCTAAATAATTTTGTTTTTAATTTTTGATGTTTTTTGATGAGCGTCAATAAAGTGTTTTCAGTAAACGGTTATCAGCTTATGGAGAAGATTGACACGAGCTCAAAATAGTTTTTTTTTTTGCAAATGAAAACAGTTTTGCAAGTCTGATCTGTGAATTTTTGTTCAACTAAAAGTATTTAAAATTGTTAAACTCACCAGCTGCAATCAAAATCCTTGGATCCATAAGCAATTTGCGCATTGATGTGCTCTCACTTGTGTGCTCGTGAAATTCGAGTTTTGGTGGCAAAACGAGCAATTGTAGACCTGAAATCTTGCTTTTTTTTTGGTTAAAAATCTAGTTTTACTAACCAACTCCAAGCACGCCCAATCCAGCCAAGATCAAGAAACAGATTTCTTTCCCATGAAAAATGTCATACATTGCACCGCCATACGGAGCACCGATTAAAAGACCTGAAAAGAAAATTGCATTTTCATCTGTAGCGACTCCCTGTTCACACAATTTATCAATTTACATGCAAAGTAAAAGCCAACTTGTCGCAAAAGATGGAAAACTAACAAAATACTGTAGACATTGCCTTTTAAAAGCTCTGGCAATTCTTTGACTCATTATCTTTTTACTAATTGGATTGGTAAAAAGCTAATCCTTAAGGAACTTGAAGCTAATCCTTAAGGAACTTGAAGTTAACCCTTAGGGAACTTGAAGTTAACCCTTAGGGAACTTGAAGCTAATCCTTAAGGAATTTGAAGCTAATCCTTAAGGAACTTGAAGCTAATCCTTAGGGAACTTGAAGCTAATCCTTAGGGTACTTGAAGCTAATCCTTAAGGAACTTGAAGTTAACCCTTAGGGAACTTGAAGTTAACCCTTAGGGAACTTGAAGCTAATCCTTAAGGAATTTGAAGCTAATCCTTAAGGAACTTGAAGCTAATCCTTAAGGATTAGCTTCAAGTTTATCCCCGTTTGTTAGTTTTATTGTTTCTATTGGTTTACTTACCCAAATTTGAAAGAGATTCGATAAATGACTATCATCGATTGTCAATCTTTGAGCCTAATCAAACAAGGACAAAGTATAAGCTATCTGGACATTAGTATTTCAAGCGATTTCAACCTTTTCTTTCCCTACCATCTTTGAGTCACTTGAGAAAACTTTTAGCTGAATATCTTTCAGTGTAAAGTTTGAAAACAAATTGATAATACCTCTTGAATGTAAAGCAGATAAAATTTTGTCAGATTTTGTGCTTTTTACCTAACGCCATTCCACCCATCGCTATTCCCATGTAACGAGCTCGTTGCTTGTCATCAGAATACTGTTGAGCCAGCATACCCATTCCTAAACTAGCTTTTGAACCATGTCAAGGCCAGAATCCTTCTACTTTAGATTCATGTCAGGTCAAAAGCATATCAAACCTGAACCTGGGTCCAGACTTCGCTAAATCTAGCAAAATTTACTAGTTTCACCCAAAAATTTGCAATCTTTTGCGAATAACCTTTAAAATTTGAAATTCTTGTTAGCTGTTTGTTTTTTTAGAAAATAAATTTCTACGTTTGCACATATAAAAATTATTTTGACTAGATAATATTAGGCCCACAAGTCCTTTTCTTTTGAAAATGTTTTCAAAAATAGCGGCAATTTCAAATAAAGGACGGCTTTCTTTGTTAAAAAGCTCTAACATGCCAAAACAAAATGGCCTTTGATTATTTTTCCAATTTTTAAAATTTTTTTTGGTTTATGACGTTTTTAAAGTGTTTAAACATTTCGCCGATCTTTAATCTCAATTTTTTGACATTTTCCTCAAACAAAATCTCATTTAGTGTAAATAGAGAAAATAAAGAGGGGATTTGACTACATAAGTAGTCGCATTTGCAGACAGATCGATCAAATCTTTTTCATTTTATAGACACTGAAAGGTTTTGTACAAAAACCGATTTTTATTGGCTTTAATTAGCTATTTAGCTCCCATTCAAGTATCATTTTGTAGAGAAATCATCACCTCACAGTACAAACCAAATTTTAAAGAGTTATTCGCCCAAGATTGCGAATTTTAGAGTGAAACTAGTAATTTTGCTAGACCTGGCAGATATGGACCTGGGCCCTAGACCGGCTTAGACAGTTTTAACTAGGCCTTGATTGAGTTGACCTGAATTGGTGAGGCCTGACCTGGCCTGGCCAACTGTGCCTGGTCGACTGTGCCTGACCAACTGTACCTGGTCAACTGTGCCTGGCCTGGCCTGGCCAACTGTGCCTGGCCAACTGTGCCTGGCCAACTGTGCCTGACCAACTGTACCTGGCCAACTGTGCCTGGCCAACTGTGCCTGGCCCAGTCTATCATTGTTGATTAATCCATTGTCATCAAGTTTCAATCGACTACCTCCCGTCGCTGCACAAGCTGATCCAATCCCCTGAACAGCCCTCGCCAAAAACAAAATAAGATAACTTTTTCCAAAAGCGAATAAAAGTGTTGAAAAGATCATGATCAAGTATCCAAAGAATAAAGGAACAGAAAAACCGATCCTGAAAAATTCGTCGCTAAAAAGTTATGATTGAAAAACCTTGTCGTAAGTGGGCCGATCAACGGCTGAGCGAAGACTTGAACTAGGCATTTTGATCCAACCAGAAAACCCAATCGTAAATTTTCATCGAGAATTTGATCGTGTCTTTGGCTTTGACTCTAGAATTTAGATGGAGGAATTTTTTGGAAAATGTTACTGAATTTGAAGTGGAGCTTTCGAGGAAAAATGCGGGAAGAATTGGCTCTGTAAGTTGAACAAAATAGATAAGCAAAAAAAAAAGCTTTTTATTCCGGGCAAGTTTATTTTGAGTAAGCTAAAAAGTGGATAAATGCTATGCTTGTTTCACTTTGAGTTCTCATAAATGCAAAAAAAGTCTTACCTTAGTAAACCTGAAAGATCTCTAGAATTGCTTCTAGAGAATTGAATAGTTCTAGAGAATTGAATAGTTCTAGAGAGTTGTACAGTTTTCTCACATCTATAATACAAAATTTCCAATTCAGATAGCTTCTTACCAAGTTTTAAACAAGTTAAACACATCTTTTATGTTTAAAATTTAGTAGTAAGTAACACAATGACACAATTCTACTTCTAGGTACCGATTCGAGCGTACTTTCTATGTAATTTCTAAGCTTTCAGAACAGAATCAAGATTTTAGCAGAATACAATTACAGAATTACAAAATATAGGATACAATGACAGATTTTTAAACAAAAACCTAAGGAAAACCTCTTACAAAAAGCTGAAGAAGAATGGAAACAAAAAAAAGTACAAAGCAACTTATATTGCCGAAAAACCAGATCAGATTACGGTAGCTTATCCGCAGTTTAGCTTAAACTGAATAGCTTAAATTGAACTGAATGGCCACAGACTCTGTGAGTTCACTTTTCTATAAAAAACCCACCTACAGCCGTTAGTAAAGAATAGTCAAGCAATAGCCCAATATAGACAACTACCAATAACAATTTGTTACGTAGAGATGAGTTTAAATTCATTATGAATTGATATTAAAGATCAAGAGCAATAGAAAAATTCAATTCCTGCACTTTTTTGCATTGCCTTTTACCAGGGTCGGAAAAGGAATGAACTCTGATAAGAGATTGTATTGCCGCCTTTCCAAAAGAGCTGTCTTTTACTCGAATCAAAATGTTGTAGACAAAAATTGGTTTCTTCAAATTGTGACAAAGTTTAATTATTCTAAAAAATCATTTAGATTTATCCTGGAATCCCGTTATGATCCTCATCATCTTAGTAGCCAATGTTATAAAATCAAGAACGAGTTTTAAAATGATAGCTTATCTGATAGAGCTTTCATCGGGCATCGAATCTGCTTTTGTTTTTCTGGAAGAGCTCTATCACTATCATCTATCATCAGACATATGGGATACAAAATTTGACATTTTCGGAGGGTTTACAAGCTTTGCTTATCATTATACTGGAAGCGAGCCCACTCAGTGATCCTAGTCTTTCAGCTTTAGTTCTGGCCTCCTTTTGACTGTATCCAGTACAATTTGACCTGATATATCAGCTCAAATTGTACTGGATGATTTTTCGTGTTTTTCATACACAACTTCAATCATAAAAATTTTTTTATTCAAAACACTAACTAATCAAAATAAAATCCATTACGATCAATGCGCTTTTGTCAGCATACGACAAGCTTTTCGACTCCATGTATGTAGTAGGCAGAAGTTCTAGAGTTGATAAAAGGTTCAGTAGCATTTTGAACCTCCACCGTATCTTTGAATATTTGGTCTCTGAGAAAGCAATCAAGGTGCTTGAATACCGTAAATGCTGTATTAGAATGACACCCCTCGGACCACTCGAAATTTTGACTTTAGACCCCCACCCCCTTGTGGGACCCGTCAAAGACCCGTCCCGTCCCGGAGAGCTGACAAAGTAAAATAAAAATGAGACGTTTTTATTTGTATTTTTTTGCCGTTTTCTAAATTGTGACCATTTTTTCTGCTGCAGATTACGGTAAATTCAGTTAAAAGCCCTCATCACATTACAAGAAACATTAAACAACTTTTTTATCATATAGTTTTATACCACCGAGTTTTTTACCAAGAAATACGAGTTAGAATCCTATTTACGAAGGTGGAATTAGGTTCGGGACGCAATTTGCCGGTGTCTAGTATGTCCCGATGCCATGAACTATACTTTTGAAGTACCGCCCCCGATTCTCTGGGGACACTTTTTGATAATCTGAAAAAATTTTGTCTATCACAGAATTTTAAAAGAGTCCACGAGAAAAAAGAAAACGAAGAATTTTAGTATCAAAAAGTGTCCCCATATGGGCGGGCGGCACTTCAAAAGTATAGTATGAACTCAAATCCAATCCGCAGAACTCAGAATTTCAATCACGTTTCATTTTGATTTAAGTAAATTTTCATCAATAACAGGGCATCAACTTAGAAAATTAGAATCATGAAACATTAAATTTCGTTTAATTTTAATTTTGTTTCTTCGTTTAATTTTGTTAAGAATTTTTGTAAATTTCAGTTATTCTATTCCTCATTCTGCGCAACAACAAATCAAAAATGGTAGATCATGTGACGCCTTTGATCATCGATAAAAATGATCAACGTCTTAATGCCGTAGTACATTTGGAAATGCTTTTCATGGTAATAGTTTTTTGAGTTTATCAGCCACATATTTTGTTTTTTTAGTGGATCTGTGGTGCCGCAGATGTGCCGAACCCTTGGAATGACGTCCAATCACTCGTGTTTGAGCATTTTTTCGCAATTAAACCTTATGGTCTGACCCCTGATGATCAAGCGGCTCTCCAGCATAAGCTCCTCATAAAGATCTCCCAAGGATATGTAAGTGTTTTCGAGTGTATTGGCCAGTTGTAAATGTGAAATGCCTCTTTATAAGAATTGATGAGTGAATTCTATGTTTTTTAGAGTGTATGGGATTCCTTGAGCCAACTCAACTACAAAACTCATCAGCTCAACTACGCATCCTGCCCAACCCTGCCTACTCCAACGAAAGAACGATATACTCTGGAGGATGCTCAACGTTATCTTGAATCCTCTAGCCCTATTCTCCCAGGTAAATGCTCTTGTATCCTTGCATTTGTGTTGATTTATTGCAATTTATTAAGGTTGGCGATTTTTCAACCTCACTGCTTCGACACTTATCTTACCTTTAACGAAGACAGCGAAAGTGGATCAACGAGCCACACTGTTAAAAAACTGGTTGCACGACCAGCAAGAGTCACTCAAAAATTGGATGAGCGAAGCAGAAACCATGGAGGAGAATTGGATTCTTCTAACTGAGCTAAAACAAGAGGGGCTCATTGACGGTCTACTCATGGTTGAGAAACAAGATCCTAAGGACGATCATAATTGTACGTTTTTTTCTTGGATTTGCCAGATCGAAATAGAGACCGAAACAGAATACTAAATTTTAGATAATCGTGATGCGAATGATTCCGAGACCGCTGGCCTTGAGAAGTTTGAGAAAACCATCGAGAAAAACGACATCGAAGTCAAGTACACAACAAGAATCGTTGTCGACACACAACAATCGTCGAAGAACAGGATTTTAATCATAATCATCAACCAGGAAACGCTGTTTGTTTGTTTGTTTGTTTGTGTATCTCTGTGCTTCTGTTTATGTATTGGTATATGTTTCTGTGAGAACCTTCGGACTCACAAAGATCATTGTCAATAAGATAGTTTGCAAAATCCACCAAACATATTTATTTACAAAAAGTGGTTACAGAGAATTCGGCTTGATTTTGATTCGGGTCTTCAATAATCGTGGGACTTATAGGGCAGGACGTCGATCTTCACTTTAAAGCGCTCGGATTTCTGAAAAGAAAATTTTGTTAATAAGAATAAGATCAAAACTAAGGTCAGATTGATGGTTTTCTTAACAACAGCTAACTGATATTTTAGACATAAAGCTATAAAAAACCGACGATGTCTTTATTCGAGGGATCCGAGATCGTGATGTAAATCGTGTAGAGCTTCGGGTGTGGTACTAGATGAACAAGTCTTTTTCTAATTATTGTAAAGCTCACCCGAAAAGACGACATCGATGCCATACCATCAGCTGGAATAACCAAGTGATCGACGGGTCTGGAGCCATCGTAGTCATGGCTGTTCCAGGGGCGAGATTTTGGCGTATAGTCGCTTGATGGAAGATTGGGAACGAAGAACCTCCAAGTGCCCTCAATGGTATAAAGGAACACATCGAACTAAAAACAAAGAAAATTATTGGTAAAAATCAGACCTTTATCGAAAGATCCTTCTTTCCGTCGTTACTAATGAAGAGTCTCGTGCGTCCATTGATGTGCTGGGGCCAGACGGAGATCAACTGAAATGTAAAAGTAACCAAGAAAAAAATATAAGTAAATCAATAGATCAGGAGTTAATAAAGTTAAAAGAGTTAAAACTGAATTTAAAGCGAACGATCTGAAAGTGAAAGATGACTTCAAGAATTTGATTTAGACTTGAAACTGATAAAAAGCTTATTTTATAAGATTAAAATCATTGGAAACTCACAGAATAAAGGCTTTCATTGGAAACATTTAGAACAGCCATCGGTTCTATCTTCGAGCCGCTTTCTTCGATAGGGTGAATTCCTTGTCCTCTTTGGAGATAACCTTAAATCAATGATTTTGAAACGATATTTTTAAAGACGTATTCTAAAAATATAGTTTTGTTTAGGAATTTTATTCTCATATAGAAACTTTCAAGAATGCTTCGGATTTCGATGAACCTTAAAGTTCGAGAAAAGGAGTCCACTTGATGCGATCCAGCTTGCAGGTAGGGGAAAGAGAATTTTAAAATACGCAAAAATTCCAGTGTCATCCAGAATACAGGTATTTGAAACAAAAACCCAAAGTTGATTGGGGAAATTTTGAGAAAGCTGGGAGAACTAGGTTTGACTTACAGTACTTACAGCATACCGGTCACCGACGAGCATCGACCGAGCCTCAATCGCAGAGCCTCAATCGAATCATTGGTCGTCCAAGCCACCACCTAAATAAAAAGTAGTTCAGAGGTATTCTAATTTGTAATTTATAAATTTTACTAGAAGTCCATGATAACGAGCGTGACCGACAAACATGCTAAACAAAACGATTTAAGAATTGACTATAACAAGTTAAAAAATCGTTTCAAAAAACTCACTGAGACAAATCGTGATGATTGACGAGCAGCGTGACCAAGGAAAATCGGCAAAAAGAAGTGGGCGCTCATTTGATCCTTTGATTATTTCATAGGGAAGCCTAAATCAACTTCAGATCAGCGATCTCCATTAAGCCAGTCCAGAGGAAACTGTGCTTCTGACTGAAGTCGGACTAAATAAGAAACTAATTAAATTGAATGCAAAAATGCAGGTAGGGGAAAGAGAATTTTAAAATGCGCTAAAATTCCGGTGTCATCCAGAATTTTATTCTGAATCCAAATCTGAAAGAATTTTTGAGATCCGTCTAATCGAAAACTCTTTATGTCGATTTTACGATTTACCCGTTATAAAATTCGGTCGCTTTTCAGTACGAGCCCTATATTCTCATTGCGGGACGAAATAGGAAAAATCCGCCGATGATTATTGTTCTCTGATGTCTTGCACGTGTTTTAAAGCCAAAAACATGAAATTTGGGTCAGCCCAAAAAAACTAGTATCACTTTGAATGTGAGGAAGCAGTTTTTAGCAAGTGGCATTCTAAAGCGTGGACATTTTACCATAATTCCAACAAGAGCAAAGCATTTTGTATATTTGAGGCTAGATAGCAAGACGGATTGATTGTCCGGTGGTGTAATGGCAGTGCGTTTAGTTACAAAGCGGATGCTCTTGGGTTCGAGTCTGTCTTTGGACTTTTTTTTGTGTATGCGATATTATTCCTGCTATATCCATTACCAGTCATCTCTTTTTCGGAATAATTTAGAAACTTCTGATTACTAAACTTTGTGTAGTGCGCATGCATTGGTTAAATGGCAAAGGAAAGTAAAATTTCATCATAAACAAACAAATGAAGAAGTTATTCTTAGTATCAAAAAGTATCCGAAGCGCCGCAGAAAATTATCTTGCTAGATTGTATGATGCTCGAGATCGGCAACCCTAAACTTGTAGTACCAAATCGGTTAGGTAAATCAAAAAAATTATCGTGTTGCTCACCAAAAGAATCTCCACAAAAAGCACACCAATTGAGCAACCGATAAAGATGACACAGAGACGAAAGAGAGGCCACAAATAGATTAGGCCAAGTTCAAAAAATTCACTTGATGAGTGAACAGAACGACGGTATGGGATATACGGATGTGCATACCTAAAAAGGACATGAACTCTGCAAAAACACGAACGTAAAACTCACAATCATAACTACCTAATCAGCCCTAACCGTACCTGGCAGCAAAATTAGCATACGATCCTTGAATTGTCTCAAGACCTCTATTGAGTTTTTCAAGTACATCTCTTGGTAGATCTCTAAATACTTCTCAGATTCAAAACTTATTGAATTACGAACTTGTTCAGTCCAAAAGCAAGGTGACTGGGTTGAATAGATGAGTCTTTTATGAATAAGATCTTGTTGGCTTTGTCCATGACGACGACATCGGTTTGAATGAGATTCTCGTGCATACCGGCAAACATCACCGTTCGTGGGGAGAACTTCTAGATGGTATATTTAGTCGGGAATAGATTTGCTTACTGGTCACAGCTGGTCAAAATAGAAAACTGATTATGGTAGAAAAACTATCGAGTAATAACAAATGTCAAGATATTCTCTTGGCAATAATTTTCTATCTTGCAATAAATAATACCGGTAACCAAGTTCAGTCGAACTTGAGCTTGCCACTCACCATTCCAAGTTGGTAGTCTTCTGCCGCTAGAATTGCCCTGAAATTGATTAGGTAATATAAAAATATACACAAATAGATGTACAAACTACAAACAATGATTAACTTTTGAAGGTATACCAGTTTTCAATTTAAAAAGAAACAAATCAAACTCACTGTTTCAGTGCACGTTCCAGCCGTTTACATTGATTGTGAGTCGGTTTGCAGAAATTCATTGGATCGTAACCATTCTCTTCCAAACGAATACGCCATCCTCAAAGATTCCAGGTCATTTCACCGCAATTTCATTTCGCTTTAATTCATTTCGCCTTGATTCATTTCGCCTTAATTCATTTCGCCGTAATTCATTTTGCCGCCAATTCATTTTGCCGCCAATTCATTTCGCCGTAATTCATTTCTCCTTGATTCATTTCGCCTTGATTCATTTTGCCGCCAATTCATTTTGCCGCCAATTCATTTCGCCGTAATTCATTTCGCCTTGATTCATTTCGCCTTGATTCATTTCGCTTTAATTCATTTCCCCGCGGGTCATTTCAGGGCCATTTCAATTAAGTTAACGTTTTTAGGAATTTTACTTAACCAAATCTCAATTTTATGAAGAAGCTTTGCGAATATCAATCTAAAGTAGACAACAGAAAAACATCCATTTACCTTTTCTCTCCACAGCATCCAACAAACCGTCGAGGTTCACAAAATCATAGCTAAATTTTGAGGTTCTTTGAAAAATTAGCACAGTGAGGTTATAAAGAAATTTTTGCCTGGGAAAACTATGAGTTTTTCGTGCAAGTGCAAGGTTTTTCGAAATCTTTTCGTTATCAGCCAACAATGATAAATTAATTTAAAAAATAAAATACTCCCGATCACCCCTTTTTCGTCGACAAAGTCAAGGCACTTGTCATGGCGGTTTCAAAATATTGTGTGAAGAAAAAACAGAACCAAATCCACGAAAACAAGAATAAAGCGTTAGCGAGAGTGTATCTTCTAAGACTTTTTATTTATCAAAAAAGATTTTTCCTACATTTTGTGATGTGGTGTATCCTGTGTAAGTAGAATTCTCCACGAGATTAACACCCAGCCCCAAAAGTTTTGGTTTAGTCTTCTTTTTGAGAAGAACCAAAAAGCAAATGAACTAAAGTTTTATAAATGTTCGAAAAGAAAAAAAACTTTTTACAAATGTAGATGTCATTGCTTTACGTAATTGAAAAATTAAAACTCCAAAATATCACCTGATGAAAAGTGCAATTAACAATAAAAAAAGGACCACAGGTTGGAAAGAATTCAGAATAAAATCCTTGATCTAAAAATTGTATTTGATTGAAAACTCTTTAATAGGTTTTGTTTTACTTGAAACTCCTCGTCCTCTGTCACCATATAGCCATAAACGACGTAATTTATGGGCATCGTGAAATCAACCTGAATCCTTATTATTAGGTTGTCGGGTTTTGAATGCGAACTTTTTGCAATAATATTTTTTCCAAGAGAACAAAGCTATTAAAATTAGTCCGGTTTGTACCATTTGAAAGGTAAATCTCTGTTTAGCAATGCTTGTTTATATCCGAACAACCTACCGGAAATACTGCAATAGTGACCCACCCCCCTCGTACAGTCGTCGCGTAGTCGCAAAAGTTTTTTAGTATTACATTTTTTTCAAAGCGCCCGTACTTTCAAACAATGCGTCTTTGGTATCAAAAAATAGCTCTGAATTTCAGCTATTTTTTGATACCCAAGCGCGCATTGTAGCATAAACCAGTGTCGAGAAAAACTCGTCCAAAGCTAGACTACGCAACACTCCACACCGTCATTATGGGGGTGGGGTACTATTACAGTATTTACGGTAATATTATCTCATTTAAGATATGCTTAAGCAAAGTTGAGTAACTTTTGAAAAGAATTTAAGCAGAAATTCAAGTTTTTCTGAAAATTCTTCAAATGAAACTATTAGGTTGTCGGGTTTTGAATGCGAATTTTTTTGCAATAATATTTTTTCCAAGAGAACAAAGCTATTAAAATTTGTCCGGTTTGTACCATTAGAAAGGTAAATCTGGGTTCTACATTGGGCTTTTCAGCGATTTTAAAAAACTTCGGTTTTGGGGATTTTTCGGGAGCACAAAGAGCACAAAGACAAATAGTCAAAATCATCAAAAATCGAAACCCACCGACAAGTACCTTTTTTGTGGAATCGTTTTGGAATGTTTCTTACTCGAACTTTTGAAAAACTCTTTTTTGCATGTGTCAGCAAATTTTCAGCCAAATCCGTTCAGCCGTTTTTTCTGAATTTTTGTTTAAAGCATGCATGAAAATAAAGGTATTTGCTCATTTAAGAGACTTTTCAAACAAATTTGAAACATTTAGAAACGGCTGGACGCTTGAAACGCTTGAAATGGCTTGAAACGGCTGAACGGAATTGGCTGAAAAAGAT